ATTATTATTATTATTATTATTATTCTATGAATGCTTCTGGGACATGGCCATATAGCCTGGAAAACTGACAACAACCCAGTGATTCTGGCTATGCAAGCCTTCAACAACACATCACTTAGTCTGCCAGGCACATGCTTGGGCTGACGAATGGGACATGGATGCTGCCTCAGGTAAAGGGATGAAGCGTATTATCCTTCAATTCCTTTTAGCCCCATAACTGCACCTTTGCAGGGAACATTCTAATGGAAGATATAGTGGAGAAAGCTCACTTCAGGGAGGGGCGCAACAGCCTTCGATCTTATAGGAAATACAACTATGAGGGGTTTTTTTGGCCTTTCCTGGACATGGGAACAACTACAGCCCATGCATATGAGAGATAAGTAAATCCTGATTTTTTAAAATAAATTATGATGGCTTCCAGGTGTTTCCATCCTGCAAACAAGCTCTTCATCTCTTCCTTATCCACACCCCACTTCCCTCCCTTTGACGCAAGCAGAGCTGCAGGGCTGAATGGAGCATATTTGTGCTTTCAATTACATCTTTCTGGACAAGGGATCCTCATATCCTCTCCAGATAAAAAGGCTATAATAAATTCACCAGGAGGGACTGTGCTGGGGAAACAACTGATCTGCGATGTGTTCAGCAAAGGTAAGTAAGCTCAATTTCTTAGCACTGGGCAGCTAGTTGTAGAATTATTTTGCAAAAGTCAAGTTTGTTTCCATAGTCAACAAGATATAGAAAGTAATATGATGAAAGTTGCAATTTGTAGCTTCCAGTTTTGACTAGTAACCTCATTAATTACAGTAAGATCTGGATACAGGGTTATTCCATCAGTATCCTTAACACAGCTACACACCCTATGCACTTTTTTCATTGTCCTATCTTCTGATCTGTTGGACACCAGGCCGCCCATCCATGTCGAGACTGGATCATGTTATTGCTGTTGGTTTTGATGCCTGTTTTGTATTTTGTTTAATGTTGTTTATGTTGTTTTACATTGCTATTGATGTACTTTGATGTGCTATGTTTTAACTCTGTTACCTGGGCTTGGCCCCAAGTAAGTTACCCTGAGTCCCTTAATAATAAAGTTGTTGTTATTATTATTATTAATAATAATAATAATAATAATAATAATAATAATAATAATAATTTCCAAATGTCCAGAAAGATGCAAATGATAGAGCAATATTTCTCAAGCCATCTGGTGTGGGATGTGCCAGGGACCAGTACTATATTTCTGTCCATTGTTTCTACAATTGTTTCTTTTCTTCCTGGAAATTCTCCAAGACTTTTTCAGAGGTTTTCTAAAGATGGAGGGAGTACCTCAAAGCCTATCACCCATAACTATTTTCAGGGATGATTCAGGAGCAAAGATGTCATGACACAAGTCTCTGTTATGTAGTAAATAGATGAACCAAAGAAGCAGCGATATTTTCTTTCCAAAAATGTCATTGGCCAACTTGGTTTCATGTCATGGCAACATCTGATAAAATCCTGAGATGTGCAGTTTAGGAAGCAGTACTTGGAATTATCAGCTTGAGCAGTGGTTCCTAATGCTGTGACCCCTTAATACAGTTCCTTATGTCATGGTGAACCCCAACCATAAAATTATTTTCATTGCTACTTCATAGCTGTAATTTTGCTACTGTTATGAATTGTAATGTAGATATATGATAGACAGGATGTATATTTATTCACTGGACCAAATTTGGCACAATACCCGATATGCCCAAATTTGAATACTGGTGAGTTTGAGGGATATATTGATTTTGTCATTTGGGAGTTGTAGTTGCTGGTATTTATAGTTAACCTATAATCAAAGAGCATTTTGAACTCCACCAACAATGGAATTGAACCAAACTTGGCACAAAGAACTCCCATGACCAACAGAAAATACTGGAAGGATTTGGTGGGCATTGACTTTGAGTTTTGGAATTGTAGTTCACCCACATCCAAAGAGCATTGTGGACTCAAACAATGATAGATCTGGACCAAACTTGGTTCGAAAAATCAATATGTGCAACTGGTAGAGTTTGGGGAAAATAGACCTTGACATTTGGGAGTTGTAGTTGCTGGGATATTTAGTTCACCTATAATCAAAGAGCATTCTGAACACCTCCAATGATAAAATTGGGCCAAACCTTCCACACAGAACCACCGCATTGAAGGGACTCACTGGTGTGCGCCTCCCTCCAGCCTCGCATGCTCTCCGTCACCCAAACATGTGCTCCACACTGCCATTTGCTGAGCAAAGGGGGGGGGGGCTTTTGGTGAAAGGATTTGCCTCTGTTTCCAAGAAGGAAAAGGACAGGTGAGAGATCCTCAGCATTCTCTGCCAAAGGGGTTCCTAAGACCATCAGAAATATATGTTTTCTGATGGTTTTTGGTGACCCCTTTGAAACCCACCCGAGACACCTCCCCAGGTTGAGAAACACTGATCTAGAGAAATCTAATGCTTTACCATACTACATATCCTAGGAATCTGTGAGATGCAACTGTAGCAGTTAAAGCATTATCATAGCATTATCCATTGAGCATAAGTAACTCAGAATTTAAACACTCTCCTCCTTTTCCTAGTCTATCTAGCTCAAACTCAACTTGGGACAATTTTTGTTCACCATCATTGTCTAAAGCAGTGCTCCCTAAAATGCTGCCCTGGCCAAGTGTTGATCCACAAGCCATGGGCAGTTTCCAGGAAAGAAAAGAACATTTATTGCCAATAGGCACAAATATAATAGCAGTCTCTGGCATGTTATAAAAGAATCATGATAAATTATACACTTCAGAGAAATATTTGTTTAAAGCATACTTTAATATTCAAACTCAGGTTCATAAGTGGATCGTTTTCCCTACTTGAAAGTGATGTCGAGCACCCCCCCACCCCCAAAATAAGGGATAGTGACTTATAGTTCTGCAAAGGGCAAGGGCACCAGACTACACAACAAGGGTTAAGTCTTGGTCACATTGCCAAGGCACTGACAACAACAAGGACCCCACGAGGCTTTTGGGAAATGGCTGGATCTTGGGACTTCTGCCCTTTGTGAGAGTTGTAGTTTCCCAAGGAACAAAAGCATGAATCAGTTGCAGCACAGCTGGGGTTTCATCTGCCAGCCTTCCCAATGATCATGGACTCTCCGCCTGCATGTCTTGGACCTCATGAACTTTCCTCAAAGACCTTTTAAAACATTGGACTTCAGGCTTCTTCATGAAAATTAATTCTCTTATTAAATATACTTGGAATGTGGGACAAAGATAGGGTTTTGTTGCTATGAAATGCTTATGATTATGAATGTATGTATCTTGCTATGAAATATTGCCTTTCCCCTTTGCCTTTTGCCCTAGAAAATGTGACCCAGGACTGTTGAAATGCTCGAGGGAGAATCCCTGCCTCTCTCGAAACTCCCTTTTGATTGACTCATCTGCATGGAACAATAGCCATTTATTTATTTTATTTATTTATTTGCTTTATTTCTATACCGCATTTTTCAGCCCAAACAGGCGACTCAATGCAGTTTACATGGTACAAGTTATCACAACAATGTCAGTGCAATTAAAAACGAACAAATGCAACAACAAAATCAACAACATCAATCAACAACAATTAACAAATCAAAACATAGCACCTCAGTGAAATCAGATCCGTTCTCATAATCCTTGTGCCATTCCTATGTTCCATTTACCGTCTTCCTATGTTCAGTTGCACTGTTTAACCAAACGCTTGTTCATAAAGCCAAGTCTTGACCTTTCTCCGAAACGCCAGCAACGAAGATGCCTGTCTGATGTCTACCGGTAAGGCATTCCATAGCCGAGGGGCCACCACTGAGAAGGCCCTGTCTCTCGTCCCCGCCAGACGCGCCTGTGACGCAGGCGGGACCGAGAGCAGGGCCTCCCCAGACGATCTTAATGTTCTAGTCGGTTCATAGGTGGAGATGCATTCGGAGAGGTAAGTGGGGCCAGAACCGTTTAGGGCTTTATAGGCTAAAGCCAGCACCTTGAATTGTGCCTGGTAGCGGATTGGCAGCCAGTGGAGCTGGCTCAACAGAGGAGTGGTATGCTCCCTGAGTGCCGCTCCCGTTAGCAACCTGGCTATGATTTCCTTTTTCTCGCTCTCTGAGTTGGTCTGGCGAGATGAGGAAGTCTGTTTGGATACGGACATTATAATTGATTCTACAAAGGGCAGCGTTGACCTCCCCCACCCGAGGTCCATTGCCCTGATCCTGTTTGTCTCTCTCAGCCAAACCCATCAAGGACAGGAAAACCTTTCTTATGAAAATCACACCTAGCCAGCCAAAAACAATGCCTCACATTCCAGCTGGCCGGCCACCGGTAATCCCATCATTTCCCCATTGTCAGCGATTGTCCCGCCTTCTCTCTTCTGATTTGTCAATCCTCAGAAGCGAGGGGAGCTTGCCGATTGGCCCTCCAGAGGCGGAGAAACTTGCTGATTGGCCCAGAGCGAGGCGGGCCGCCAAGCCTCCTCCCAGCTGTTTGGGCTGTCAGCCAATCAGCGCGAAGCCGGCCGGCAAGGGGCAGGCGGGAGATTTGAATTGTTTTCCTTTGTATTTTCTCTATAAAAATGCCAGTAAAAATCTGTATTGCTATGCTTGTAGTGGAACTATTCCTACAATGCATCCGATTGCAGCTGAATCGCTAATAAAGACACCTCGGTCCCAGCTTCTTCCGCTTTGGTGAGGATTTATTATTTTAAATATTTTTGCTGCTGAAATTGGCTTCGCTGGCCTCACCAAGGTTCAAGGACTCTCTTTGGTGCGGTCCTCAGGATCTCCTCAGCGGAGGAGATCCTCCTAAAAGCAGCTCGAAAACAAAAGCAGGAGAAGGGGTCTCAAACAGAAGCCAGCAGATGTAATTTTTTGCAAAGAGTGTTTCTGAATATTAGAAAACTGGGACTTTGGGCATAAATTTTGTGGGAATCTTTCTCTTACAGGTTAAAGGGAACATTGGAGGCTAAGAAGTGTGCAAAGTCAACCAAGAAAGGAACACTGTTTCCAAGGATGACAATGGAGCGTGCCCCTTGGACCTGGTTAAAAGAAGGAAGGGAATCGCGGAAGTTGGTGTTGCTGGTTGTGTTTGTTGCCTTGCTTGTGGACAATATGCTGTTGACAGTTGTGGGTATGTTGCATGTTGTTCTGTCTGTCTCCATGTGTTAAAAGTCATATAGAGGTATTGAGGGCTGTCTAGTTTAGAGTAGGGTTTAAAACTTTTTGTCCTACTTTACCCTTCACCTGAAATACAGGTCAATATCATCAGAGCGATACATGGCACAATCATGTAGTCTACAGCTCCATTTTGGTAGCTGTTGTATATCAATACGTTCTTTGCAGAGTTCTAGGGGCTGGATGTAGGAGTGTGCTACTGGGTGCCTTCAAATCATTTTTGATTTATGGCAACCATATTATCCTTGTGTTTCTTAAATGTTGTGTTTTATTGCTGATATGTTATTTATAATGGTTTTGTATTGTGTTTTTATTTTTTGTTTTATTTTATTGCTTGGTTGGTTTATACTGAGGTATTGTATTGTCAGGCTTGACCTCATGTAAGCCACCCCCGAGTCCCCTTGGGGAGATGGTGGCAGGGTATAAATAAAGATTATGATTATGATTATGATTATATTGTTGTTGTTGTTGTTGTTATTATTATTATTATTATTATTATTGGGTTTTCTTGGCAGAATTTGGGGGGGGGGTTGGCGGTGGTGGTGGGGATGCCAGTACTTTCCTCTGGGGGCACTTCCAGACATGGGGAAAAGTCTGAAGTTTTGGAGTTTTGGCATGGGATTTTGTCCCCATGCCCGCCCCAACAAAAAACAGGTTTTCCAGACTGGGTGCCCCCATACATCCATTAACTTCTGGAATGGCATGGGGTCACCCTACCCCCCACAAGCCCTTAAAAGGCCACCATTAATCTGCTCTGGCAGACCTCCTGGTGCATAGAAATGACATGCCAGGAGTTGGAGGGGGAGGAGGAGTGATTTTCCTGCTTAACCCCAATTCCCACCCCCTGGCATTTTATTTCTATGTGCAAGGAGGCCTGCCAGAGGAGGTTAATGATGACCCGATATGTTTTTGTCTACTTTTAAGGCTTTGGGGGAGGGGGTGCCCTCTTGGTTCTCCAGGCTCATGGAGCCCAAAAACCTTTGGAAAGCCCGGGTTTTGGGTTTGTGTGTTTGTATTCAAATCTACAGCAAAAGCAGGCTTTAAAATCCAGCTTTGGTACGGATTTGGGTAATGTCTGGAAGCATCCAGTGCTATATTCCCATCATTTGCCTTCTCTTGATGAGGATTTCCACTTCGTGTTTAATTAACCACATCTGCAATTGTGAAATTATTTTAAAATTATTTTAAAGGCTACAGCAGGGGTAGGGAACCTTTGGCCCTCCAGCTGTGGTGGACTTCAACTCCCACAATTCCTTGAGGCTCGGCATTGGGCCAAGGTAAGCCTTTGGGGCGAATGCCGAGCCTCAAGGAATTGTGGGAGTTGAAGTCCACCACAGCTGGAGGGCCAAAGGTTCCCTACCCCTGGGCTACAGGGTAGTGGAAGTGAAGAGGGCGAGGTTATGGTATACTTACTTACTTACTTAAGCGATCCCTCGTTCTCCGAGTAGGATAGTCTTCCAAGATCAGTGTAGTGGCAGTGGGTCCATAGGTGACTGTGAAGCCCTATTCTTGATGTGCGTGTTCTCCCGCAGTGAGGGCATTGGTTTCCAGACGGAAGGTGGTCCTGGTTGGGGTTGGCTTGACACACCTTCCTCTTGGCACATTTCTTTCTTATTCCCTCCATTCATGCCTTTTCAAATTCTACAGCACTGTTGGTCACAGCTGACCTCCAACTGGAGTGCTCAAGGGCCAGGGCTTCCCAGTTCTCGGTGTCTATAACAGAGTTTTTAAGGTTGGCTTTGAGCCCATCTTTAAATCTCTTTTCCTGCCCACGAATATTCCATTTTCCATTCTTGAGTTTGGAGGAGAGGAAATGCTTTGGGAGACGGTGGTCAGGCATCCAGACAACGTGGCCGGTCCAGCAGAGTTGATGGTGGAGGACCATCACTTCAATGCTGGTGGTCTTTGCTTCAAGGTTATGATATAATGTGGAAGTAGATGTGTGAGACCATAGGTAGGCGAATCAGCTTAGTTGTGCGATTGGAGGGAGGTGCCATTGTGTGGCTGTCATGCCAGTTTGAAACCGCTATTGGTGGTTGTCCAGCTCAAGCGATAAAGTCCCTCAGCTGATTTTTCTGATTCAATCATGAGAATTAGGGGTGCAATATAAACTAATCCCTTCTCTAATTTCTTTCCAGTTCCGATTATTCCTTCCTTCCTATATGCTACCTACAAAAATGCTAGCTACCCTGCATTTCAGTCCACCATTCCAACAGTTCAAGCGCTCTCCTCAGCTGCTCCCAATGCTTCCATCTTCTCCTATTCTGGCAAATCCACAGTGGCACCACAGATGGTGGTGACCATTGCAGAAAGCACTACTGACAATGTCACTGTAAATACAAATGGCATCCAAGACAGACGTGTTCCGCCTCAGCTCCCTACAGCTGCTTCATCCCTGAACAGCAGTTGTACTGATGGGACAGATTTTCTTACCAAGGAAAATGTTCGTGTTGGACTACTCTTTGCCTCAAAAGCCTTGATGCAGCTCCTAGCCAACCCCTTTGTAGGACCCTTAACAAACAGGTAGGGTGCCTTGTCAACAATTGGTAGGTATCCATTTTAATACTTATATGAAAGAAGCCATACAGAGAAAGTAACACACCCCACATACAGCTGGGTCTATTGGAAAATTATTTTAGAAAAGCATTATAGAAGGAATGATTTGTGATTTTTCTCTCTGTCACCACAACCTATCTTCAAATTTTGGTCCTGTGTCAAATCATTGTGACACTACCTAGAATCATAAAATCATAGAGTTTGAAGAGACCTCATGGGCCATCCAGTCCAACCCTCTGCCAAGAAGCAGGAAAATTGCATTCAAAGCACCCCTGACAGATGACCATCCAGCCTCTGTTTAAAAGCTTCCAAAGAAGGAGCCTCCACCAAACTCTGGGGCAGAGTTCCACTGCTGAACGGCTCTCACAGAAAACAAGCTTGCTCCCTCCTCCCTATGACTTCTTCTCACATATTTATACATGGCTATCATGTCTCCTCTCAGCCTTCTCTTCTTCAGGCGAAACATGCCCAGCTCTTTAAGCCACTTCTCATAGGGCTTGATCCCCAGACCCTTGATCATTTTAGTCACCTTCCTCTGGACACTTTCCAGCTTGTCAATATCTTTCTTCAATTGCGGTGTCGAGAATTGGACACAATATTCCAGGTGTGGTCTAACCAAGGCAGAATAGAGGGGTAGCATGACTTCCCTGGATCTAGAACCTGGACTATAGTTTCTCACTAACCTTGACACAGGACTACCCTAAGTATAATAGAAAATTAAAATGGTAGCTATTCTGTGTCATATGTAACATGGTAGGTATGTAAACAGGGAGGAAAGTTCAATATAAGTATTTCCTCCCCAAGCATCTGCTCAAGACAGCTGGCCATCTATGCTTAAATCCATCTTTAGCCTGCAGAAGATGGGTGAGGAGATATGGGGGCCATGTATAAATATGAGGGTAAGTCATAGGCAGGGGCGGCTCAACCCATTATGCAAAGTATAGTTGATTTTGCCCAGGGGCGCTCTTGGGGTGCTCTTGGGGGAAAATAGACCTTGACATATGCGAGTTGTAGTTACTGGGATGTATAGTTCACCTACAGTCAAAGAACATTCTGAACTCCACCAATGATGGAATTGAACCAAATATGGGACACAGAACTCCCACAACGAACAGAAAATATACATCAGTGATTGGTTGGGGGGTGGGGGTGGGACGCCAAAATACTGTTTGCTTACCATTGAAAATTACCTAGGGCCGCCTCTGGTCATAGGGAGGAGGGAGCAAGCTTTTTTCTGCTGCCCTGGAGACTAGGACATTGAACGATGGCTTCAAATTACAGTAAGGAGATTCCACTGGAACATAAGGAAGAACTTCCTGATTGTGAGAACTGTTCAGCAGTGGAACTCTCCACCCCAGAGTCCGGTGGAAGCTCTTTCATTGGAGGCTTTTAACCAGAGGCTGGATGGCCATCTGTTGGAGTTGTTTTGACAACATATTAATTTTGACGATATATTAATGGCAGTCTCTGGGGATGTAATGCGAGCATTTGCTTGTCCATTTTTGTTGGATTCTTTTCAATTGGTTCAGCTTGAGGATGTGGACAGGATCCTTGGAGAAGTGCGACCTACCAGATGCATCCTAGACCCCTGCCCATCCTGGCTGATAAAAGAAGCCAGAGGGGGTTTGGCAGAGTGGGTGAAGGTGATGGTTAATGCTTCCTTACAAGAAAGAAAGTTTCCAGCAAGCTATTATAAAACCGCTGTTGAAAAAACCACCACTGGATCCCACTCAATTCGACAACTATCGGCCAGTTTCCAATCTCCCCTATTTGGGCAAAGTCATGGAATGTGTGGTGGCAACACAACTCCAGGAGTTTCTGGTAGACACTGATTATCTAGATCCGGCACAGTCTGGCTTTAGGCCGGGACATGGAATTGAGACAGCCTTAGTCGCCTTGGTAGATGATCTTCGCCGGGAACTGGACAGGGGGAGCGTGTCTCTGTTAGTTCTGCTGGACCTCTCAGCGGCCTTCGATACCGTCGATCACGGTATCCTTCTGGGGCGCTTCATGGACATGGGGCTCGGGGGCACTGCTCTGCAGTGGCTCCGATCCTTCCTTGAGGGACGGTCCCAGAAGGTGTTATTGGGTGACACCTGTTCGGCCCCACAACCGTTGTTGTGTGGAGTCCCACAGGGTTCAATCCTGTCCCCGATATTATTTAACATCTACATGAAGCTGCTGGGGGAGATCATTCGGAGTTTCAGAATGAGATGTTATCTCTACGCAGATGATGTCCAAATCTGTCACTCCTTTCCACCTGTCATCAAGGAGGCTGTCCAGACCTTGAATCGGTGCTTGGCTGCTGTGTCGGACTGGATGAGAGCTAACAAATTGAAATTGAATCCAGACAAGACAGAGGTCCTACTGGTCAGTCGTAAGGCCGAACAGGGCATGGGGTTACAGCCTGTGTTAGATGGGGTTACACTCCCCCTGAAGATGCAGGCTCGCAGCTTGGGAGTGATCCTGGACTCATCGCTGAGCCTGGAATCCCAGGTCTTGGTGGTGGCCGGGAGAGCTTTTGCACAATTAAAACTTGTGCGCCAGCTGCGCCCGTACCTTGGGAAGTTGGATCTGGCCACGGAGGTCCACGCTCTTGTTACATCCCGATTAGATTACTGCAACACACTCTACGTGGGGTTGCCTTTGAAGACTGTTCAGAAACTCCAACTAGTCCAGCGGGAGGCAGCCAGAGTACTTACAGGAGCGTCATACAGGGAGCATACCACCCCCCTGTTGTGTCAGCTCCACTGGCTGCCAATCCAACTCCAAGCACAATTCAAAGTGCTGGTTTTGACCTACAAAACTCTATACGGTTCCGGCCCAGTGTATCTGTCCGAACGGATCTCCCTCTACGTCCCACCTCAGAGTCTAAGATCTTCTGGGGAGGCGCTGCTCTCAACCCCGCCTCTATCACAAGGTGAGATTGGCGGGGCGAGGAGCAGGGCCTTCTCGGTGGTGGCCCCTCACCTGTGGAATTCACTTCCCAGGGAAATTAAATGAGCGACATCCCTCCTTTCCTTCAGGAAAAAATTGAAAACATGGATTTGGGACCAGGCATTCGGACAATCTGGCAGATAAAGAAAGGACTTTGACGATGGACAGGAATTGACTAAGTGGAATGGAATTATAGAACTCTGAAAGGCGAACACTGAGCATGAGATTAGTTTTATTGATTGTGTTATATACCGACTGTTTTAACTGTGATAATTGTTTTAACTGCTATTTTGTACGTATGTGTATTTTGTGTAGGCATCGAATTGTGCCTTTTTGTAAGCCGCCCTGAGTCCCCCCTCGGGGGTTGAGAAGGGCGGGGTAGAAGTACTCGAAATAAATAAAATAAATAAATTTGAATGCGATTTTCCCACTTCTTGGCAGGGGGTTGGACTGGATGGCCCCTTGAGATCTCTTCCAACTCTATGATTCTCACATGTGAATTAAATGAGTCTATATATGACTGAATGTAAAACTATAGACTTTTCCTCTCTCTGTAGGATAGGATACCACATCCCCATGTTTCTTGGGTTTGTCATCATGTTCCTCTCCACGCTCCGTAAGTATTGTGCTTTGTAATTTCTCCAGTGGTGTAGGACGTAGATAAGATATCCTGGGATAATGCGGCATGTCTCATTAAGAGCCTTATCCACTGTTTTACTTGTTTTCTATGGCCCTATTTTAGCTTCAGTCATGTTGGCTCCTACCATAGGAGTTTGTTATTAATTGGAATAGTAGAAATTACTACCAGATCCCACCTTTAGATTTTGGATTCAGAAGTAGGTCGATATGAAAAGGTTTGCAGAAAAGATGCCAACAATCATTGAATGAGCAGTGTTTAAAGTGCTTCGCATACATTATCCTGGTATTCTGGACATATCAATATAATGATTTCATTTCTATTTCTACTCCTTCTGCAGTGTTTGCTCTTTCGACTACCTATACCTTGCTGTTTATTGCTCGAGCCATGCAGGGCATTGGCTCTGCCTGTTCCTCTGTTGCAGGTAAATATGTTGGTGGGCATCACAGGCAAACAAACTAGTCCAATGTGGGCTAGGCAAAACTACGGTGAGGTGAATCAGTAATTGGTTAAATGGACGAACCCAGAGGGTGCTCACCAATGCTTCCTCTTCATCCTGGAAAAAAGTGACAAGTGGAGTGCCACAAGCAGGGTTCTGTCCTGGGCCCGGTCCTGTTCAACATCTTTATTAATGACTTAGATGAAGGGCTAGAAGGCATGATCATCAAGTTTGCAGACGACACCAAATTGGGAGGGATAGCCAATACTCCAGAGGACAGGAGCAGGATTCAAAACGATCTTGACAGATTAGAGAGATGGGCCAAAACTAACAAAATGAAATTCAACAGTGACAAATGCAAGATACTCCACTTTGGCAGGAAAAACGAAATGCAAAGATACAGAATGGGGGACGCCTGGCTCGAGAGCAGTACGTGTGAAAAAGATCTTGGAGTCCTCGTGGACAACAAGTTAAACATGAGCCAACAATGTGATGTGGCGGCAAAAAAAGCCAATGGGATTTTGGCCTGCATCAATAGGAGCATAGTGTCTAGATCTAGGGAAGTAATGCTACCCCTCTATTCTGCTTTGGTTAGACCACCCCTGGAATATTGTGTCCAATTCTGGGCACCACAATTCAAGAGAGATATTGACAAGCTGGAATGTGTCCAGAGGAGGGCGACTAAAATGATCAAGGGTCTGGAGAACAAGCCCTATGAGGAGCGGCTTAAGGAGCTGGGCATGTTTAGCCTGAAGAAGAGAAGGCTGAGAGGAGACATGATAGCCATGTATAAAAATGTGAGAGGAAGCCACAGGGAGGAGGAAGCAAGCTTGTTTACTGCTGCCCTGGAGACTAGAACGCGAAACAATGGCTTCAAACTACAAGAAAGGAGATTCCATCTGAACATGAGGAAGAACTTCCTGACTGTGAGAGCTATTCAGCAGTGGAACTCTCTGCCCCGGAGTGTGATGGAGGCTCCTTCTTTGGAAGCTTCTAAACAGAGGCTGGATGGCCATCTGTCAGGGGTGATTTGAATGCAATATTCCTGCTTCTTGGCAGTTGGACTGGATGGCCCACGAGGTCTCTTCCAACTCTTTGATTCTATGATTCTATTATTCTTGGGTGGATGGAAAAGTGTTCTCCATATCTCTAATTGCCCTGATTTGACAAGGATAGTGCTGATTAATCTTCTGATATCCTACTTCTTCTTAGCTAATTTTAAAGCAGCTCAGATCATTTCTTCTCCCACTTTCTTGCTTTTTTCCCTCACCTTTGTTCAGTTCTTGCAAACTGAGGCCCCTTCCACACAACTGAATAAAACCCCACATTATCTGCTTTGAACTGGAATATATGGCAGTGTGGACTCAGATAACCCAGCTCAAAACAGATACTGGGATTTTCTGCCTTGAAATTCTGGGTTATATGACTGTGTGGAAGGGCCCAAAGTGCAAAAGTGGTTTGCACTCAGGCCCAGGCCTCAACCCCCCCCCCCCCGAAATGTTTCATATTTTTTAAAGAACCTGGTTTTCTCATGAATTCTAACTGGTTAACCAAATCCCCATGCTAAGTCTATGAGATGCAAAAAATTAAGAGTCCCTCCAGAACTGCAAGCACTATCTCAAGCAAATATTGACAATTTATTCACACTGTCATTACTTGCAGCAATAGCCGATGTAGTGAAGCAACCAAGTTGTGTATGTGTGTGTTGAATGCTCTCATTAAGGAGGCCAGACTTGGTGGAGGTGGTTGACAGGGGCGGAGCTACAGGCTATTTTTTTCTCTTTTTTTGTTAAAACTTTTTATTTTGATTATGGTACATAACAGAAAAGCAAATCATGACAGATATAATCAGGTACCAATATTTTTGACGTGTACATGCCTATCTACCTTATTCAATCAATCAGTTAATTTTGACATTAAGACAAATTATTATCATTTACATATCTTAATACACATAGACTTGCTATTTCTGCCTGTTTTCCACTGCTTTCAGTCAGAGCTTTGTATTAAATGTTTTCCATAACATTCAGGAAATCAGCACATGGCATTTTACACACATACCACAGACCTTACCCTCATCCCAAAACCCCTATCCTAAACAAAATAAACCCTCACCCCACACCGGTGCACCCTCCACCATGACTTCCCACACCGAAGCACTATGAACCCTTTAAGCCTATTTATCTATCCTTATTCATGGTAAACCTACATTCCTAATGGAGCTCCTCTATATTACTGACTCTATTCAGATATGCCACGGCCAACTTCCATTTTTCTAGAAAGTCCTCATTACTCTTATTCCTCCTGTTAGAAGTTAGTCTGGCCATTAGCATATATTCTTGCATTCTTTCCGTCCAATCCTTTTTTGGTTAGACCTTTTTCCCCTTTCCAATCTTTGGCTATGGTCAATCTTGCCGCTGCAAAGCTATATTGATATATTTCTTGGTCCTTTTGATTATTGTTTTCTCTCTGTAGACCTAGCAGACACAGTCCTGGGCTTTTTAAAATCTTGTTATGTAACATTTTATTTGTCTCCTTAATGACCTTATCCCAAAATTCCTGTATGATCACACAGGTCCACCACATGTGGAGGAATGTCCCTTTCTGTTTCCTGCACCTCCAGCAGGAAATTTATCTATTTTAGCCAATGTTGCTGGAGTGATATATCATCTATAAAACATTTTGTATTGGTTCTCCCTGATTGAACCTGATAAAGTAAATTTGAATTCTTTGTTCCATAGGTATTCCCATTTGTCCAATTCTATTGGTCTGCCTAGGTCCTTGGCCCAGGATATCATTATTGTCTTGACTCTGTTGTCCTCCATGTTATAGCTTAGTATGTATTTGTATAATCTAGCTGCAGGCTATTGAAGGCTGCTCTGCCCCCTGCTGTGCTCTTTGCTTCAGCGTGAGCTAGGAGGCAAGTTTTCAAACCGTCCCGCAAAATTTTCAACCCCCCCCCCAAATTTCAACCCCTCCCGAAAATTTTTTTTGGCTACGGCCCTGCTCAGGCCCCTTCTTTGCTGCCATATAAAATCCAGATTATCTGCTTTAATCTTATTTATATGGTAGTGTAGACTCACATGTCCCAGTGTCCAAAGTTTCTTATGTGCCATCCATATACAAGTGACTGAAACTGAGGACAAATTTCACTGCAGGCAGATCACAGTGCATGAATCTTTTTTTTAAAGGATGTTTGAGACCAACTTTTATTGAAACGCACAAACCAAGAACTCTTTGCAATTCATTAGAAACACATACAACTGGGGAATTTTCCCCAGTTGCCAAATTTTTCCCAGACTTCACAACCTACAAGTTGTACTCTTCTGGCAAAATCCCACCCAAAATTTATCAAATATGAAGGAATGTGAATAATACTGTCTTGGACTGGATCTATATTCCCATATTGTGGTGACACCGACAGCCTTCAAACTTAAAATGGTGGTTGTGTATCTGGACTTTGGAAGGTGTAGGTCCAAAAACTCTATAAAGTGTCCAAAACTCAGTATTCAAACTTAGATGGTGGTTGTGTATCTGAGCAAACTTAGATAGTGGTATCTGGCTTTGGAAGGTGTCAATTCAAAACCTTAAAAGTCTCCAAAACTCAGTATTCGAACTTAGATGGCGGTTGTGTATATGGCTTTGGATGGTGTCGGTCCAAAAACTCTAAAGTGTCCAAAACTCAGTATTCGAACTTAGATGGCGGTTGTGTATCTGGGCTAACTTAGATGGTGGTATCTGGCTTTGGAAGGTGTCCGTCCAAAACCTCAAAAGTCTCTAAAACTCAGTATTCGAACTTAGATGGCGGTTGTGTATTTGGGCAAACTTAGATGGTGGTATCTGGCTTTGGAAGGTGTCAGTCCAAAAACTCAAGAGTCTCCAAAACTTAGATGCATGAATCTTCTTATTATTCTTGAACGGAGGGTCTCAAAATAATGCTCAAAGCCAAGCTGACTTCACTGCTTCTGCTTCCAGGTCTGGGGATGCTGGCGAGTGTGTACACAGATGACTATGAGAGGGGAAACGCAATGGGAATCGCCTTAGGGGGGTTAGCTTTGGGGGTGCTTGGTAAGTATTCCTTGTCCCTGCGGCTGTTTTCCCTCCTGCTTCCATCTTCTTTCTTAAATTCATCTTCCTCTTGCAGTTGGCGCTCCTTTTGGAAGTGTGATGTATGCGTTTGTTGGGAAGTCCTCTCCTTTCCTGTTCTTGGCATTCCTAGCTCTGTTGGATGGAGGTGAGTATTGAGTAAATACCAAACGTGGGACACATCCACAGCTATGGATGAAAATGAAGGCACAGGTGGTGTATGCACTGATTTGAAGTAAATGCCACTGAAAAAAGTGAGAATTTTAATTATATTGCTTTTTAGGTTGCGGGTTGTTTTGGGTCCCACGCTTGGAAGGAAAGTGGGGTGGTAATATTACTACTACTGCTACTACTAAAACTACTACTACTACTAATTCATATTTCATAGATATAACTTTCCCAAAATAATAATGTTTCTTATTCAGCCTTACAGCTTTGTATCCTGCATCCATCTAAGATTTCACCCGAGGTAACTACAATAGCTTTGCTTTTTCCTATGTATTCTGTTCGAGGGTGGGCAATATGAACAATCCAACCATTTTGGAATATAATTCCCACGATCCCTTACCATGGACTATGCTGGCTGGAGCTTCTGAAGACCTAAGGCTTCACAAATCTGCTTTTTAGTAGGAAATCTATCAACAACCCATATTCTTTTGAAATGATGGCGTACTCAGTAGATGGCAATATTATTTCAGTTTAGGGGCTAGCGTGGTGTCATGGTTTAAGCATTAGACTAAAGCTTTGGAGGACATAGTTCAAATCCCTGCTCAGCCATGGAAATGCACTGGATGACCTTGAGAAATCACATTCTCTCAGAGGAAAACAATGGTACAAATCTTGCCAAGAGAAAACTGCAATGAGTTTGCCTTGACAGCAAATTCTCACACTGTTTTTTCCAGAGTACTAAAGGAACCCCTCTGTTGACCTTATTGCAGGACCCCTATATTTTGATTGCAGCAGGTAAGTAAACAAATCTCCACTGTAGCAAATAATAATAATAATAATAATAATAGCACAATACTCCTGACCTCACAATCATGTTAAAAAACAAAGTATGGATTGTTGATGTTGCAATCCCAGGCAAAAGCAGGGTTGAAGAGAAACAACCGGACAAGCTGACATGATATGAGGATTTAAAGATCGAACTGCAAAGACTCTGGCACAAGCCAATCAAGGTGGTCCCAGTGGTGATCAGCACACTGGGTGCAGTGCCTAAAGACCTTGGCCTGCACTTAAACACAATCGGCACTGACAATATCTGCCAGCTGTAGAAGGCCACCTTACTGGGATCTGCACGCATGATTCGCAGATGCATCACACAGTCCTAGACACTTGGGAAGTGTCCGACGTGTGATATAATACAACAGCCAGCAGAGTGATCTTGTCTGCTGTGGACTCATCTTGTTGTGTCTCAAATAACAACAACAACAACAACAACAACAACAACAATTTGTATTTCTTACCTGCCTCTCCCCTTGGCTCAAGGTGGGTCACAGCACAATAAAAAACACACAAATACTATAAAAAGTCTACAAACATGCATATTAAAATGGAGTTCCATAAAAGATACATATTGAACATTCTATAAAATACACATTAATCACACAGGACAGAGACCAAAATATAGCGCGAGTTTAAAATTCATGTTTTCAACTGGCTGGGTAGGGCTGCAGGAAGAGATAGGTTTTTATATTGTTTTGAAGATCTGGATATATTTTAGTAGGATATAGGTTCTATGGAAGAGCACCTGATGGTGCAGCGGGTTAAACTGCTGAACTGCTGAACCTGCTGACTGAAAGGTTGGCAGTTCGAATCTGGGGAGCAGCATGATCTCCCGCTGTTAGCCCCAGCTTCTGCCAACCTAGCAGTTCAAAAACATGCAAATGTGACTAGATCAATAGGTAACACTTCTGCAGGAAAGTAACAGCACTCCATGCAGTCATGCTGGCCACATGACCTTGGAGGTGTCAATGGAGAACACTGGCTCTTCAGCTTAGAAATAGAGATGAGCACCCCCCCCCCCAGAGTTGACGTAATGTCAAGGAGAACCCTTAACCTTTACCTTAGGTTCTATGGCACTGAGGGCAAAATATTCAAAGGCCTCTCAAAACCAAAAGCAATTTTAAAAAATTCAGCTCATTGAATCTCTACATCTTCTATCTAGATGTTAGGCCAATTCAGCAAAGTCATGTCTTCTGTTCTGTTAATAACATCAATGCTGATGATACAGTCAGTGTATCTTCTCTCCCCAGGTTCAATCTGCTTTGCTAACATGGGAGTGGCCATACTAGAAACCACTTTACCCATTTGGATGATGCAAACCATGTGCTCTCCTGAATGGCAACTGGGTAGGTCCCCTTTCCCACCCTTTTACAGAATATTTCTGGGTAAAGCTTTTTATCATACAATTTTCCTTCAACGTTCAATGGATTTTTGCAGCGTCCAGGTGTCATTGTGTTCCATATATACTGGCCAACACATATTTTGGTGCCTCAGTTGTTAGACCTGTTTCTCTGTATATTTGATCGGCTGATTACAAAAATGACACCAATTTTCCTCTATCAGCTCTAGTTTTTGAGATACAGAACATATACCATATGCCAGCATTTCAACTTGGGGGTTGGGACCCCGGGGAGGGGGTTGTGAGGGGGTGTCAGAGGGGTCACCAAAGACCATTGGAAAACACAGTATTTTCTGTTCATCATGGGGGTTCCGTGTGGGAAGTTTGGTCCAATTTTAACATTGGTGGGGTTGAGAATGCCTTTTGATTGTAGGCAAACTTTAAATCCTAAAAACTACAACTCCCAAATGTCAAGGTCTATTTTCCCCACAGTTGGGCATATTGAGGATTTGTGCCAAGTTTTTTGAGTCCACAGTGCTCTCTGGATGTAGGCGAACGACAACTCCAAAACTCAAGGTCAATGCCCGCCAAACCTTTCCAGTATTTTCTGTTGGTCATGGGAGTTCTGTGTGCCAAGTTTGGGTCAATTCCATCATTGGTGGGGTTCAGAATAATAATAATAATAATAATAATAATAATAATAATAATAATAATAATCTTTATTTATCCTCCACCACCATCTCCCCAACGGGGACTTGGGGCGGCTTACGTTGGGCCAATAATTACAATAATGCTCTTAGGTGAACTATAAATCCCAGCATCTACAACTCCCAAATGACAAAATCAATCCCCCCCCCAACCCCACCTGTATTCAAATGTGGATGTATTGGGTATTTGTGCCAAATTTGGTCCAGTGAATGAAAATACATCCTACATATCAGATATTTACATGACGATTCATAGCAGTAACAAAAGGACAGTTATGAAATAGCAACAAAAATAATGACATGGTTGGGGGTCACCACAACATGAGGAACTGTATTAAGGGGTTGTGACATTAGGAAGGTTGAAAAGCACTGCCATATACCTGTTGCCGTCTGCTTGCTCACAAAGAATCATGATAACCACAGCCGGTCGGTGAGTTCTTTCTGGCATAAGCTATAAAGAAATTCTTATTTGTGTTGACATGTTATGTGGATAGTTTTCCTGCCACTGGTCTTTTTGTCAGTGTTGATCCTCTGTGAGATCTCACAACATTGTTTAACAGCTGTTTTTGCTTTGACAACATATAGCAAAAGTGACACGAGTGCATGTTTGCAGCAGCACCATAGTGAGGGTGGCATTTCTCTTCATCTCCCAAAGAGAATATATTCAAAAGCCCAACAGATGTGGCTACAAGGCTTTTGAAGAGGCACCTCCTGGTTAAACAAAAAGGCAGCTTCAGAGGCACAGGGAGGGTGACTCAGTATATGCCAATTACGTGCTGCCTTGGAGACTAGAATCAAATGAAATTGCCAACCTTTGTTGCAAAAAACACTCACTGAAATCTAATTTATGAAGGAATGACCTTTGGGGATGCTCTCGGCTACACTTTGTGCTCAAATCCAATTGCTACCTAGGCTTAGCAGTATTACAGAACACTACTAATCAAGTTAACAATCCGTTAGCCAGGAAGAACCTTCCACCAGATATGGGTCTGTGCGGGTCATTTGTCAGTCTATTTTCCTGGCTTCGTTTTAGTTGGGATGAATAATGGAGGGAGTGAAGGAGGACAACCTGGGTGCAAATGAGTTACACTTGGATCCAGAACAGGAATTGAGGAAAGAGCTGCTTATTCCAAGACGAGAGATGACCTCCATTCGAGACAAAGGCCCCTTCAACACAGATGAATAAAATCCCACATTTTCTGCTTTGAACTGGAATAATAATAATAATAATAACTAGCTTTACCCGCCACGCGTTGCTGTGGCCAGCCTTCTCTCCCTCTTTCTCTGCTTCTTTCACTCCTTCCTTCATTCCGTTTTCTTCTTTCCTTTCTTCCTTCTCTACCTGTTTACTTCCTTCCTTAGCTGTTTGCTTTCATCCTTCCTTCTCCTTATTTCTTTCCTTCCCTGCATCTTTCTCTCCTTCTTTCTCTTTTTCCTTTGCTGCGTCTTTCCTCCCTTCCCTTTTTTCTTTCCTTCTCTCCTCCTTCCTTCTGTACCTCTTTCCTTCCTCCTCCCTTTTTTCTTTTCCTTCCTCTTTGTCTCCTTTCTTCCCTCTCTTTCTCTTTCCTTCCTTCCTTCGCTCTGTAGTTCCATACTTCCCTTTCTTTCTTTCTTTCTTTCTTTCTTTCTTTCTTTCTTTCTTTCTTTCTTTCTTTCTTTCTTTCTTTCTTTCTTTCTTTCCTCCCTTTCTCTTCTTCATTTGCTTTCTTTCCTCCCTTCCCTTTTCTTCTGTCCTTTCTTCCTTCCTTTCCTTCGTTCCTACACCTTCCCTTCTGCTTCTTTCTTCTTCCTTCCTTCCTTTCTCCCTTGTTTCCCATGCTCCTACTATCTCTTTCTTCTTTCTTTCCTACCTTTCCTACCTACAATTTGGGAATTGTAGTTGCTGGGATTTGTAGTTCACCTAAAATCAAATAGCATTCTGAGCCCCACCAACGATGGAATTGAACCAATCTTGGCACACAGTTCCCCCATGACCAACAGAAAATTCTGGAAGGGTTTGGTGGGCATTGTCCTTTGGTTTTGGAGTTGTAGTTCCCCTACATCCAGAGACCACTGTGGACTCAAACAATGATGGATCTGGACCAAACTCTACACAAATACTCAATATGCCCAAATGTGAACACTGGTGGGGTTTGGGGAAAATATAATCTTGACATTTGGGAGTTGTAGTTGCTGGGATTTGTAGTTCACTTACAAACACAGAGCATTCTGAACCCCACCAATGATAGAATTGGCCCAAACCTCCCACACAGAATTGGGCCAAATCTCCCCATGACTACCAGAGTCGATCACAGCAACGCATGGTAGGGGACGGCTAGTTATAAATAAAACTTTATATTCTGCCCTATCTCCCCGGAGGGGATACATCTCTCCAGTAGTGCAATTGTACTGGTTCACCAGTTAGTGATCCTACGATCATATTTCTGTACATCTTTGTAACCTCAACTACTTAAACAATTGCAAGTCCTTTTTTTAAAATATTATTTTTATTGTGTTATCGAAGGCTTTCGTGGTCAGAATCACTGGGTTGCTGTGAGTTTTTCAGGCTGTAAGGCTCAGGTCCAGAGTATTTGATGAACCGCATCTCCCACTATAGATCATGATGATGTTCCAGTAGCATTCTCTCTTGACGTTTTGCCTCCATCTGTGCCTTCCTCTGAACATCCCAGCCACAGATGCAGGCGGAACGTCAGGAGAGGTAGGGGATGGGAACATGGCAGGATTGGGAGCTATTGATGGGTGAAACATGGCGGGGGAGAAAAAGTGATAGCAAGATGCACATGCCATTTTGTGTGTCTTGTGTGATAATGTCTTAAAGGAGCCTGTTAGTGGATTTTGAAGATGCCTCCAAAACAAGCTTTTACTGGATCTGGATGCATGGACAAACATCCTTTTACTGCAGTGTTTCTCAACCTGGGTGTCAGTATCTCTGGGGTGAGGGCTCGTGAGAGATAGGGGCGGCTTAACCCATTACGCAAAGTAAGCATTTGCAGTATAGTTGATTTTGCCCAGGGGCACTCTTGGGGGAAAATAGACCTTGACATATGCGAGTTGTAGTTACTGGGATGTATAGTTCACCTACAATCAAAGAGCATTCAGAACTCCACAATGATGGAATTGAACCAAATATGGCACACAGAACTCCCATGACCAACAGAAAATATATATCAATGATTGGTTGGGGGGGGGGGTGCCAAAATACTGTTTGCTTACTGTTGAAAATTACCTAGGGCCCCCTCTGGTCATGAGGGGGTGTTAGAGGAGTCTCCAAAGACCATCAGAAAACACAGTATTTTCTATTGATCGTGAGAGTTCTGTGTGGGAATTTTGACCCTATTATCTCGGTGGTGTTCAGAATGCTATTTGATTGCAAGTGAACTATAAATCCCAGCGACTACTACTCCAAATGTCAATGTCTATTTTCCCCATACTCCACCAGTGTTCACATTTGGGCATATTGAGTATTTGCATCAAGTTTGGTCGAGATCCATCATTGTTTGAGTCCACAGTGCTCTCTGCATGTAGGTGAACTACAACTCCAAAACTCAAGGTCAATGCCCATCAGACTTTTCGAGTATTTTCTGTTGCTCACAATAGTTCTGTGTGTCAGGTTTGGTTCAGTTCCATCATTGATGGAGTTCAGAATGCTCTTTGATTGTAGGCGAACTATAAATCCCAGCAACTACAACTCCAAATGTCAAGGTCTATTTCCCCCAAATTCCACCAGTGTTCACATTTTGGCATATTGAGTATTCATGCCAAGTTTGGTCCAGATCAGTCATTGTTTGAGTCCACAGTTCTCTCTGGCTGTAGGTGAACTACAACTCCAAAACTCAAAGTCAATGCCCACCAGACCTTTTCAGTATTTTCTGTGGGTTATGAGAGTTCTGTGTGCCAGGTTTGGTTCAGTTCCATCATTGATGGTGTTCAGAATGCTCTTTGATTGTAGGTGAACTAGAAATCCCAGTAACTACAACTCCCAAATGACAAAATCAAACCCTCAACCCACCAGTATACTTGGGCATATCAGGTATTCGTGCCAAATTTGGTCGAGTGAATGAAACTACATCCTGCATATCAGATTTATAACAGAAGCAAAATTCCAGTTATGAAGTAGCAACAAAAATAATGTTGTGGTTGGGGGTCACCACAACATGAGGGGTTGCAGCATTAGGAAGGTTGAGAATCATTGCTTTATTGGATCCTGATGTTAAGAGAGGTGCCCAGTTCCCATAGATGCAAAATATGAACATGTTAAGTCCCCAACAGAATTCTGGATGTTGTATACTATACTCAGTAAACTCATATGAGAACAGTAGCCAACTTCAGGATTATAATGTGCAAAATAAACATCAAACCTCTTGCTGCCAGCAGAAAAAGAGCCATTGTTGTGGAGTTAGGGTCTTGAGTAAGGTACCTTATTGAACAGGTACATCTGGAAGATTTTTTATCAAATACAGATGGTTAGAAATGGATATAATTTATTTCTGACTATTTTTAAACTACTAGCACAGATCATTTTTATTACTGCTTCTGTTTGTCCAATCTGGCGTTTCTTAGTAAAAAGTGGAGGCTTTCCCAGAAAACCTGCAAGATAAACGAAAGGGACACACAGAGAGGAAATTAAACACAAACATCTGAGTTTCAATAAGCACGCCTTGTTATCTTCAGGCAAACAGAGATGCCTGTGATACATCTATAGTCTGAAGGGGAGTAAATTAATAATCAGCCGCACCAGACCAACTCAAGTCAAATATTGAATTTTAGTTTAATTATATCAGTAGAACAAATAACCGTTGCGCTGGTTCAGAGTGTGACACTGTGGCACCTTCCAAACAGCTAAATAAAATCCCACGTTTTCCGCTTTGAACTGGAATATATGACAGTATTGATAACCCAGTTCAAAGCAGATATTGTGGGATTTCCTGCCTTAATATTCTGGGTTATATGGCGTTTGGAAGGGCCCTGGAACAAAAGAAGAAGGAAGGGCTTAAGACATAAAATGACCTAGCAATAGAACCTGGTCTAATAATAATAACCCTTCCCGTGGACATCAGACTGGCTCCTTCCCTGATGATATTCCGCAGGAAATTAAAAACTTGGCTGTTCAAGAAGGCGTTCGAACAAGAAGTGCAATAATTGGTAATGACGACAGGAATGGAACAACGGAAAATGATACTGGATTGTGGTTTAAACGATGAGACGACATGAATGGCTTTTTGTATTATTGATATTGTTGATGTTTTTGATGATGATGTTTTTGGTTATTGCTAGATTGATATTTTAGATTGTGTCTTGAATTTTTGAACCTTGTCCTTTCTATGTTGTACACCGCTGTGAGTCGCCCCCGGGCTGAGAACAGCGGTATATAAGCAAAGTAAATAAATAAATAAATAAATAAATAAATAAATAAATATTTATTTATTTATACCCCACCACCATCTCCCCAAAGGGACGGAGCAGCTTACATGAGGTCAAGCCCAACAACACATCAGTAAAAACAACAAAGCAATAAGCAAATAAAACGATACAATTAATATAACTTACATATATGGCAGTGTTTCTCAAACTTCCTAATGCTGTGACCTCATTGGTGACCCCCAACCATAAAATTATTTTTGTTATTACTTCATCATTGTAATTTTGCTACTGTTATGAATTGTAATGTCAATATCTAATTTTCATTCACTGGACCAAATTTGGCACAAATACCCAATATGCCCAAATTTGAATACTGATGGGGTTCAGAGGGGATTTATTTTGTCATTTGGGAGTTGTAGTTGCTGGGCTTTATAGTTCACCTAAAATCAAAGAGCATTGTGAATTTGGCACACAGAACTCCCAAGACCAACATAAAATACCGGAAGAGTTTGGTGGGCATTGACTTTGAATTTTGGAATTGTAGTTCACCTACATCCAGAGAGCACTGTGGACTCAAACAATGATAGATATGGACCAGAGTTGTAACAAATACTCAATGTATTGTCGAAGGCTTTCATGGCTGGAATCACTCAGTTCTTGTGGTTTTTTTCGGGCTATATGGCCATGTTCTAGAGGCATTTCTCCTGACGTTTCGCCTGCATCTATGGCAAGCATCCATATGCCCAAATGAGAACCCTGGTAGAGTTTGGGGAAAATAGACCTTGACATTTTGGAGTTGTAGTTGCTGGGATTTATAGTTCACCTACAATCAAAGAGCATTCTGAACTTCACCAACAATGGAATTAGACCAAACATGGCACACAGAACTCCCATGACCAACATAAAAAAAAACTGGAAGGGTTTGGTGGGCATTGATCTTGAGTTTTGGAATTGTAGTTCACCTACATCCAGAGAGCACTGTGGACTCCAGCAATGATATATCTGAACCAGACTTGGTACAAATACTCAATATGCCCAAATGTGAACCCTTGTGGAGTTTGGGGAAAATAGATCTTGACATTTTGGAGTTGTAGGTGCTGGGATTTATAGTTCACCTATAACCAGAGAGCATTTTGAACCACACCAATGATAGAATTGGGCCAAACTTCCCACAAAGAACCCCCATGCCTTCAGGGAACTAGCTGGCGTGAGCCTCCTTCCAGCCTCGCATGCTCTCCCTTGCCCACACATGCGCATCATACTGTCACATATCAAGCATGCCTGCTCTTCCCTCCCCTGCTTGGAGTCTCAGAAACAGCCCTCCCCTTGGCTGAGAGACCAGCCAATCAGAGCGGAGGAGGGCTTTTGGTGGGAGGATTTGCCGTCAGTTTCCAAAAAGGAAGAAAAGGACAGGCGGAGAGATTATCAGCCTTCTCTGCCAAAGGGGTTCCTAAGATCAACAGAAATATATGTTTTCTTATGGTGTATGCTGACCCCTCTGAAACCAGGGGTCCTGGCCTCCAGGTTGTCTTATGGAATATATGAAGAATTGAAAATGTGTTAGGAAACTTGAGTTACAATTAATTCACCCTCACTCCCATTCCATCCCTCCATTCAATTGTCAATAGCAAAACTGGGGAACTATGGACAACCAGCTGTCATTGGAGCTGAGTCTTATCAGATCCTACAAGACTAGCAAGAGATGGTGGGAATATGAGTTTATCACAGAGCTCAGAAAAGTTGTTCTTTAACTACAACTTTCAGAAAGACCATGCTGGAAACAGTTGCCATAGAAGTAACATTTCAAAAAAGGGATGGCTCCCAGGTGTTCTACACCTGAGTTAGGATAATGGTCCACCCACCTAACTAGCAACATGTATCATTCCTCCTCCTTTTAAGAACATAGGGAGGCACCTGTTAAATCACACTAATGGGTCATTTTAACATATCTGTGAAACTGCCCAATGATAGTTGCCGGGTGATTTTAACTTCTTTTTCTTGCACTGCTAGTTTACATGAATCTATTTAAGCCATGCATTTTGCAATAAGGTAGCTTCCCTCAGGTTGCAATCATAGGGGCAACAGCTTGGCAATCATCGTTAGAATCTTTAAACCTGCCCCTATTCCCAGGGTTTTGGAGGGAAAGGAGGACTCTGTTCAGTCTTACCGTTTTTGGAGCCTAACAGCAGGATGTGTGGGTCTCTCTCTCTCACCTGCACAAAGGCTTCACTTCTCACAGCTTTTGCTGGGGGTTAAAGAAATAGATCCACAGCTCTGCTGGGGAGGAAAGAAATGGTTCCTACAGCCTTTGTGGAGAAACTAAAGGACACCTTTTAGCTTGGCAGATCTACAGGAACCTTGCCTGGTAAGGGACCACTCGGGCTATCCATAAAGCAGCTTGGAGCCGGGAGTAGGGGCCTCACGCCAGCAAGATAGAGATTGCCCAAGGAGGGGTCAAAGGATTTCCCTAAGGAAGAAAGGAACAGTTTACCACCAGTTGCCTGCCCCTTGATAGCAGATTGAGGAAGCTACCGGTTTTCCAAGGTTATAAAGTGTTTAATTCATTTGTTTGAAGATTTAAGCCCAAATAAAGAACTTTGTTGAATTTATCTTGAGCCTCAATACAACTTTGTGTTGGGAAATCTAAAGGGCCCTTCAGCTGAGGCACCCCGGCGACCCGTTGGGCATACAGAGAGCACGTCCTGTAAACAGACATTATTTCAGGCCCAGTGTGCAACAGCACAATAGTCCTGTAAGGTAGGATTTTCTTCATTTCTACAAAAGTCACGCAACTTTATTTATGGGAGGTTCTTTCTCTGTTTCTTTTCACAGGGGTAGCTTTTCTTCCTGCCAGTGTGTCCTATCTGATTGGCACCAACCTATTTGGGATGTTGGCCAACAAAATGGGACGGTAAGTGAAGGAGCCCAAAAGTCTTTGACTTTTGTGTCACTTACTTACTTACTTAGGCGATCCCTCATTGGACGAGTAAGATAAAAACAAGATGTTTTTATTGCTGCTAATTATACTGTCTGATTGTTTTAATCAGTTATAACTGTGATATTATGTGGTAAATTTGTGTATTTTATATTGCATTGTATGTTGTAATTATTAGGCATCGAATTGTGCCTTTTGTAAGCCGCCCTGAGTCCCCCCTGGGGGTTGAGAAGGGCGGGGTAGAAGCACCCCAAATAAATACATAAATAATAAATAAATGGTCTTCCATGATGGGTTTCCTTGTGGATTCGTAGGTGGCTGTGGAGCCCTATTCTTGACCTGCATCTTCTCCCACAGTGAAGGCATTGGTTTCCAGGTGGAAGGCGGTCCCGGTCGGGGTTGACTTGACGCGTCTTCCTCCTGGCATGTTTCTCTCTTTCACCCTCCACTCGTGCCTCCTCAAATTCTGCAGCACTGCTGGTCACAGCTGACCTCCAGCTGGAGCGCTCAAGGGCCAGGGCTTCCCAGTTCTCAGTGTCTATGCCAGAGATTTTAAGGCTAGCTTTTTGTGTCACTATTTAGGTCCAACATCACAAAAACCAAGATTATGGCAACCAGATCACTGGCAAATAGAGGGAGAAAATGTGGAGGCAGTGACAGACTTTGTATTTCTAGGCATGAAGATTATTGCAGACGCAGACTGCGGCCAGGAAATCAGAAGACGCTTCCTTCTTGGGAGGAGAGCAATGTCCAAATAGTGAAGAGTAGAGACATCACATTGGCAACAAAGATCTGCATAGTAAAAGCAATGGTATTCCCCATAGTAACCTACGGATGTGAGAGCTGGACCATAAGGAAGTCTGAGCAAAGGGAGATAGACACTTTTGGAGGAAAATTCTGAGAGTGCCTTGGACCACAAGAAGATCCAACCAGTCCATACTCCAGAAAATAATGCCCGACTACTCACTGGAGGGAAGGAAAATAGAGGCAAAGATGAAGTACTTTGGCCACATACTGAGAAGACAGGAAAGCTTGGCTGTGGAAAATGGAAGGAAAAAGGAAGAGGGGCCAACCAAGGGATGGATAGATGGATGCATGGTATCCTTGAAGTGATTGGCTTGACTTTGAAGGAGCTGCGGGTGGCAATGGCCAACAAGGAGCTCTGGCATGGGCTGGTTCATGAGGTCACGAGGAGTTGGAAGCAACTGAACAAATAAACAACAACAAACAATAAAGTCCAGTTTTACAAGAAGTGGGCGATTTAGGGAATGCCTGCCTCATGATATGGACCTGAAGTAAATGGGGAACTGGTTGATAGCTCAATTTATATGATTCTGTAAATGAGGATTAGACCAAGACTTGAACATAAGACAAGTCTTGCTGGATCACGTTCAAAGTGTCTGGTTCATCCAGCATTCTGTTTCCCACAGTTGCCAAATAAAATTCTTTTGGGAAGATGAGAAGTAGGAGAAGAGTCCAATAGCCCTCATATTCAGAAGTATGCTAACTCTTTGATCCTAAAAAGCGCATAGAATAATAGAGTTGGAAAAGACCTCATGGGCCATCCAGTCCAACCCCATTCTGCCACGAAGCAGGAAAATTGTATTCAAAGCACCCCCAACAGATAACCATCCAGCCTCTGTTTAAAAGCTTCCAAAGAAGGAGCCTCCATCACACTCCGGCTCTCACAGTCAGGAAGTTCTTCCTAATGGAATCTCCTTTCTTGTAGTTTGAAGCCATTGTTCCATTGCGTCCTAGTCTCCAGGGAAGCAGAAAACAAGCTTGCTCCCTCCTCCCTATGAGTTCCTCTCACATATTTATATATGGCTATCATATCTCCTCTAGCCTTCTCTTCTTCGTTCTAAACATTCGTGACAGCTGACTGTTTGTTGTCTGTTTTTATACTACTTTTATATTGTTCATCTGGTTTTATACTGTTTATACTGCTATACTGTTTATACTGTTTATACTGTTTTATTATATCATTGTTAAATTGTATATTCATGTTTTGAATTTGTGGGGTAGAACAACTACTTTCAAAGTAAGGACCACACAATGAAACAGGAAATAACACTTTCATACCAGGAACAGATTTTCTTTATTATTAAAAATTGATTTTATAAAATTTGCATACTCGGCAGGGGTGCCGATTTGTTAGCTGTCCTAAGTCCCTCTGCGGAGGTTGAGGTAGGACAGGATATAAAAGCCCTAAACAAACAAACAAACAAACAAACATGCCCAGCTCTTTAAGCCACTCCTCATAGGGCTTGTTTTCAGGACCCTTGATCATTTTAGTCGGCCTCCTCTGGACACATTCCAACTTGTCGATATCTCTCTTCAATTGTGGTGCTCAGAATTGGACACAATATTCCAGGTGAGGTCTAACCAAGGCAGAATAGAGGAAAAGCATGACATCCCTGGATCTAGACACTATACTCTATTGATGCAGGCCAAATTCCCATTGGCTTTTTTTGCCGCCGCATAGAGTCATGATGCCTAGTAGCACTTAATAGCTCCAGTCTCCATGAATTGATCTAATCTTCTTTTTAAAGCCACCTAAGTTGATGGTCATTTTGAGCAGCAAATTCTGTAATTCAGATATGGATTGCCTATAGGAGTAATTTTTTCTGTCTTACTGAATCTTCCATCATTCAGCTGCATCGGATAACCTTAGCTTTTGCTATTAGGGAGAGAAAGCATGTTTCTACAAAATTCCAGTATATCAATCTTATTTCTATATAACCCTACCAAGTGACCCCTTTTTTACCTGTTTTCTAAATGAAATAGTACAGCTTTATCTCAGAGGGGAGTTTTATTCAAATCCTTAGATCAATTCAGCTACCTTTTCCTAACAATACCCTTCTTGAGATGTGATGATCAGAACTATAAATGGTATACTTCACCCTATAGATTTCTATAACAAATGTATACAATAATGATAAATGATAATGCCCTGCTTTCCATGTACTTTCAGACTGAGATCTTTTCTCTCTTTCTTCTTTTCATTGCCATTGTTACAGATGGCTCTGTTCACTGATTGGGATGGTGGTTGTCGGAATCAGCCTTCTTTGTGTGAGTATAATGGCACGTCTGTACAGCAGATCTAATACTATTGGTTTTGGTTTTTATTGCCGTACCTGAATCTAACCGCATATCTCTCCCTACTTTTGCTTCATAGATTCCCCTGGCTCAAAATATCTATGGGCTCATTGTGCCCAACAGTGGGGTTGGTTTTGCCCTTGGTAAGAGCTGGAAATGCTTTGGATTCTGCACTAATATTTTTCAAAGATATTTATTTATTTATTTATTGTGTCAGGAGCAAACCAAAACAGTTGTATTGCATTAAAAACAGGCAAACAAAACACAAAATTTGCAGACTTGGTATTCTATTAAATGTTCTTTGACCAGTAGCTGGCCACTTGGAGTGACTCTGGTGTTGCTGCAAGAAGGTCCTCCATTGTGCATGTGGCAGGGCTCAGGGTGCATTGCAGCAGGTGGTCAGTGGTTTGCTCTTCTCCACACTCGCATGTTGTGGATTCCACTTTGTAGTCCCATTTCTTGAGGTTGGCTCTGCATCTCGTGGTGCCAGAGCGCAGTCTGTTCAGCGCCTTCCAAATCGCCCAGTCTTCAGTGTGCCCAGGGGGGAGTCTCTCATTTGGTATCAGCCATGGCTTGAGGTTCTGGGCCTGCCACTTTTGGACTCTCGCTTGCTGAGGTGTTCCAGCGAGTGTCTCTGTAGATCTTAGGAAACTATTTCTTGATTTAAGTCATTGGCATGCTGGCTGATACCCAAACAGGGGATGGACTGGAGATGTCACTGCCTTGGTCCTTTCAGTATTGGCTGCTACTTCCTGGCGGATGTCAGGTGGTGCAATAGTGTAATTTCTCCAGTGGTGTACGGAGCGGACACCCCGTGATAATGTGGCATGTCTCATTAAGAGCCACTGTTTTAGCGTGGTGACATGTGTTCCACAGTGGGCACGCATACTCAGCAGCAGAGTAGCATAGCGCAAGGGCAGATGTCTTCACTGTGTCTGGTTGTGATCCCCAAGTTGTGCCAGTCAGTTTTCATATGATATTGTTTCTAGCACCCACTTTTTGCTTGATGTTCAGGCAGTGCTTCTTGTAGGTAAGAGCACGGTCCAGAGTGACTCCCAGGTATTTGGGTGCACTGCAATGCTCCAGTGGGATTCCTTCCCAGGTGATCCTCAGAGCTCGGGATGCTTCTCTGTTCTTGAGATGAAAAGCACATGTCTGTGTTTTAGATGGATTAGGGATCAGCTGGTTTTTCCTGTAGTAAGCAGTAAGAGCGCCTAGAGCTTTGGAGAGCTTCTGTTCTACCATCTCAAAGCTCCCTGCTTGAGCAGTAATGGCACGATCATCAGCATAGATGAAGCTCTCTGTCCCTTTTGGCAGTGACTGTTCATTTGTGTAAATGTTGAACATGGATGGAGCAAGCACGCTCCCCTGAGGCAGGCCGTTCTTCTGTTTCCGCCATCTGCTTCTCTGACCCTGGAACTTAACAAAAAAAGCTCCTGTTTTGTAGCAGGTTTCCTATGAGACGGGTGAGGTGGTAGTCCTTTGTGATATTATACATTTTTCTCAGGAGGAGGCGGTGGTTTACAGTATCATAAGCTGTTGACATGTCTATGAAGATGGCTCCTGTGATCTGCTGCCTTTCAAAGCCATCTTCTATGTGCTGAGTCAGGTTCAGCACTTGCGATGTGCAGCTTTTGCCCTTCTTGAAGCCAGTTTGCTGTGGAATCAGACATGGGTCCATTTTTTCCATATTTCTATGCAAAATAAGTCTCTCCAGAACTTTGTAAAGGTGGCACAACAGAGAGATTGGTCTATAGCCTTTTGGATCATTTTACGGTCTTTGCCTGGTTTCAAGATGGCGATGACTCTTGCTTTCCTCCAGATTTTGGGGATCTGACAGGATGCAGTGCAGTTGTTCATCAGCCCTAGTAGCCAGCACCTTGCTTTTGGACCAAAGTTCTTGATTTGTTCCATCCGTAGATCATCCAGGCCAGCTGCTTTGCCATTTTTACATTTATTGAGAGCCATGTCCAAAAATAGTGTTGCTATTGTGTGCCCTCACATTTTTTTTTCTGATCTAAGGTGGACATATCTAAGATGCTCTGTCTGACAATATTTCTTGATTTCATTCTGGGGACAGGTATGGTCGACTCCTCTATGATGCCTCTCATGGGATACTTGGTGGACCTTCGCCACACCTCCATCTACGGCAGCGTCTATGCCATTGCTGATGTAGCCTTCTGCATGGGCTTTGCTGTTGGTATGGATTGGCACCAGTCACTGTGGTGTTGCTTGTGCATTTATTGTGTCTGAATACTTCTCAAATTTAAAATCTTTCTCTGCCAGAGTGCTGGGGCCTCATGAAACTACAGATCCCAGGAGTCCATTGCATTGAGCCATGGCAGTTAAAAGGTGCCAAGCTGCTTTAAATCTACAGTGTAGATCTCTCAGGATTTGGCAACTACAACTCTTCTGATGTGACCACAAATTTTATGCCTTCATCCCAAAAACGGAATATAATAATAATAATAATAATAATAATAATAATAATAATATCTTTATTTTTATACCCCGCCAACCATCTACCCTAGAGGACTCGGGGCAGCTTACAAGGGACAAGCCCAAAAATTACAGTTAAAACACAGCAATCAAACAACAATTAAAACATCAAATACAAACAATACAACACATTATAAACAACATAGGAACAATATGGCTGAAAAAACATAGGTGAGGTACAATTCAATGAGTGCAATACATTTTATAGGAGCACAAAAAAAATGCAACAGACTAGTAGATTGGGAGAGAAGTGCTGTCAAAAACATGTTGAGGTAGGCCATTTGAGGGTCGAAATAAAGTGCAGAAACTCAATAGGGACAGGAAAATTACTGGTGAGCTGCTCAATCAAAAGCACACCGGAACATCCAGGTTTTTAGTTGACTCTGAATGGAGGACAAGGTTGGAGCCCGTCTGATCTCCCTAGGAAGGGAGTTCCAGAGCTGAGGGGCCACTACCGAGAATGTAAGCAACAGAATCTGCTATATAGGGCCGGGCTTTAGCAGAGCTGGTTAATCACCAGCAGCAATACATCTTACCAATCGAAAGATTTGCAGTTTAGTCCGGGTTGCAGTGAGCACCCGACCTTCAGCCCAGCTTACTGTTCACCTAAGCTGTTAGAAAATAGCTGTGAGTAGAGAAATTAGGCACCGCATAAGCAGGGAGGTATTTTACGGTACCATAAAAGAAATACCAGAAAATGCCAGTGATCAAAGGAAGGAGGAAGTCTGTCATCAAAGCTCTTCATCTTAGAGGATGGAGAGACAGCATCCTCCTGTGGTTGGAATCGAGCACAACCTCCAGGACGCCGAAGTTGGGAAAAATGCCGACATATACCTCAGTCTGTTATTTGTCCTATCTGTTTAATGGCATTGAATGTTTGCTGTGTATGTGTTCTGTGATCCACCCTTTGGGGTAAGAAGGGCAGAATATAAAAGCTGCAAATAAATAAATTAATTAATAAATAATGTTGTGATGCACCTATATAATTAAATTAATATCAGCTGTTTTAATTACCCACCATCCTCTGCTTGTAGGTCCTTCTACAGGAGGTGTGCTTGTTCGAGCGGTTGGCTTTCCCTGGTTAATGGTCATCATTGCAGGCATCAATTTGGCATATGCCCCTCTCTGTTGGTGTCTGCGGAGTCCCCCAGCCAAAGAGGAGAAGATTGTAAGTTTATCGTTGGAGGTTCAAGCAATATCCAAATGGTTTCTACAAGGGTGACTTGTTATGTCTTTGAAACATTTTTTGCCGTTGCTTTCTGTTAAATTCAGAAGCCACCTAACAGTCTTAAGTCAAAGACCAGGATGAAGAACCAGATGTTGTTCAACTCTATGGGAAATTATGGGAACAAGTCCAACAACATTTGGATGCACAGATTATGCACCCTTGTAGGAAAACAGTACAACACTCTGTTGCAGTGAGGGAGCAATGATGGGGAGTTTCCTTCCTTGTCAGAAAGAAGGTTTTGCTCCAACTAACCCTGGGGAATGTCAAACCTTCGTTCTCACAGTTCTTTAACTGAACAGCTCTTCAAAGAGAACAGAGATAAGAAATATGGCTCCTTCCTGTTGTCTTTATTTTGCTTGATGATGTGGGCAAGATCTTGAGAGAAATGAGGGTGACCAGTTGTGTCCTCGAGCCTTGCCTGTCCTGGCTGATTATGCAGGTCCGAAGGGGACTGGCAAAGTGGATGAAAGTGCTGGTAAATCCCCTCTTAGTACAAGGTAAAATTCCAGCCAGCCTTAAGGAGGCAGTAGTAAAACCTCTACTTAAAAATCCAGCCCTGGATCCCACTCAGCTAAACAATATTCGGGCGGTTTCAAATCTCCCCTTTCTGGGCAAGGTTCTGGAGAGAGTGGTGGCATCTCAGCTCCATAATTTCTTGGAAGAAACCGATTATCTGAATCCATTTCAATCTAGTTTCAAACTTGGTTACGAAACTGAAATAGCAGTAGTCGCCTTGGTAGATGATCTACAAAGAGAGCTAGCACTGGGACTGTGGCGCAGCTGGCTGGGAGTCAGCTGCATTAAGATCACTACTGACTGAAAGGTCATGAGTTTGAAGCCAGCCCGGGTCGGAGTGAGTGTCCGACCAATTTGTGTAGCTTGCTGTCAACCTTTGCAGCCTAAAAGACAGTTGCATCTGTCAAGTAGGAAATTTAGGTACCGCCTATGCGGGGAGGCGAATTTAACTAATTTACAGTGCCATAAAAATCTCCAGCAAGCCTGCAAAGAATGAGGAAGTATTTCATCAGTGTCATAAATGGATGGTGAAGCAACAGCTCCCCTGGTGGCCAGAATACTCTCATGAAAAGTTAAATTGCCTCTGTGTCTGTCTCTATATGTTGTGTGTCTATGTTTGCCATGTATATGTACATTGTCATCTGCCCTGAGTCCCCTGCAGAGTGAGAAGGGCGGAATATAACTACTGTAAATAAATGGGGGAGTGTGTCTCTGTTGGTTCTCCTGGAACTCTTAGCAGCGTTTGATACCATCAACAATGGTATCCTTCAGGATCATCTTGCTGGGATGGGATTAGGACGCACTGTTTTTCAGTGGCTCTGTTCATTTCTAGAGGGCTGAACTCAGAAGGTGGTGCTTGGTGAGTCCTGTTTGATCCCTTGGCCTTTGTCCTTTGGGGTCCCACAGGGTTCAGTTCCATCCCTCGTGCTGTTTAATATTTACATTAAAGTGCTGAGAGAGATCATCTGGAGTTTTGGAGTTTGGTGCCATATTTATACAGACGACACCGAACTCTATTACTCCTTTCCTCCAAAAGCCAAGGATACCGTTCTGTTCCTAAATTGATGCCTGTCAGCAGTAATGGACTGGATGAGGGTGAACAGATTGAAATTAAATCCTGACAAGACAGAGGTCAGTCAGAAGGCAGATCAGGGTATAGGGATACAACCTGTGCTGAATGGGGTTACACTCCCCCTGACGACACGGGTACGCAGCTTGGGGGTGATCCTGGATTCATCACTGACCCTGGAGCCCTAGTGTCAGCAGTGGCCAGAAGTGCCTTTGCACAACTAAAACTTGTGCACCTCCTGCACCCATACCCTGAGATGCCAGATCTGGCTATGGAAGTACATGCTTTAGTTACATCTCGATTGGACTACTGCAACACGCTCTATATGGGGCTGCCTTTAAAGAACGTTCAGAAGCCTCAGCTGGTTCAAAGGTCAGAAGGCAGGTTACTAATGGGAGCACTGTACAGGGAGATAACAATTCCCATGTTACGGCAGCTTCACTGGCTTCCAGTTTGCTACCGAGGGAAAATCAAAGTGCTGGCTATTACCTTTAAAGCTCTAAACAGTTCGGATCCAGACTACTTGGCCAACTGCCTCTTGTATTGACTTGTCCAAACATTGTGCTCATCTCAAACCTGGTTGGTAGGGACAAGAGAGAGGGCCTTCTCTGCAATTGCCCCTCACATCTGGAATTCCCTCTCAAAGGAGATCAGAATGGCCCCTGTGCTGTCCTCTTTTAGGAAGCAACTTAAAACCTTCCCATGCACACAGGCTTATGGAGAGTTCTTCAGTTGCTGCAAACTGAGTTTGAAGTGCAAACACTGTTTGCGTTCTATTAACTCAGCTGGGGAGAAGGATTTCTAGCAGTAGGCTCAGCCAAAACCAACTGATGCAGCCTTTCCTAACTTGTATATTCTTCCTCATTAGTAACTTTAGTCACCTTGGCCATGTTGTGATGTTACTTGACCACATGAGTCCTGGTTTCCTTCTGTGAAAGTTGGAGGGTATGCATTAGCACATGGTATTAGCCATGTTGGCAACTCCTGAATAGCCCTCGAAGTAAGGGACTTTTTTCTCTCTAAGGGAAGATATGGGGCACCTTCCACTTTGGGCTCTTCTGTGACACCAATGAAGTCAACCTTGATTGTCCCATCCCTTCTGGGAATGGGGGACATCTAGTTCTCTTGTCCACTAGTTCTCTTGACATGCCTTTATGCCCCAAAGCCTTTTGATATAGGAATCTGTATTGATTTTGCTATGCATTTGGTGAGGATAATACTTATGCATTGTGTTTCGTTTTCTCTCATTCTGTCTCCTGCTCTTCCAGGCAATTTTAAGCCAGGATTGCAACATGCAGACCAAAAGTTATGTGACCCAGAAGGCTCTCAAGGAGTTTCCACTCACAGATAGTAGCGATGATGAAATTGAGACCGTGGAATAGAAGCTACACTTTCAGTTGTCGCATTTGGAATCCTGTAGAGGCTTTCTTCCCATCTTCTCACGAAGAGTTCTTTTGGAAAGCATCAAAATAGAACTGGGGAAAATTGGAGGCTCTAGATACTTTGGACTACAGCTCCCAGAATCCTGTGTCACTGTGGGGTGGGCTGATGGAAGTTTAAGCCAAAGAAACTAATGGGCCAAAATTTCCCCAGCCCTTTCCTAAAAAAATAACACCAAACCATGACTGGAATGCAGTGGAGAAAGATAGTACACAATTTGTTCTTGTGGGTTTTTTCGGGCTATATGGCCATGTTCTAGAGGCATTTCTCCTGACGTTTCGCCTGCATCTATGGCAAGCTTCCTCAGAGGTCTGCTGGAGCTGGGAAAAAGGGGTTTATATATCTGTGGAATGACCAGGGTGAGACAAAAGGCTTTTGTAAGTTGGGCTAGGTGTGAATCTTTTCAACTGACCACCTTGATTAGCATACAATGGGCTGACAGTGCCTGGAGCAAACTCTTCTTGAAAGGTGATTAGATGTCCCTGCCTGTTTTTCTCTCTGCTGTTTTAATTTTAGAATTTTTTAATACTGGTAGCCAGATTTGTTCATTTTCATGGTTTCTTCCTTTCTGTTGAAATTGTCCACATGTTTGTGGATTTCAATGGCTTCTCTGTGTAGTCTGACATGGTGGTTGTGAGAGTGGTCCAGCATTTTTGTGTTCTCAAATAAATGCTGTGTCCAGGTTGGTTCATCAGGTGCTCTGCTATGGCTGACTTCTCTGGTAGAAGTAGTCTGCAGTGCCTTTCATGTTCCTTGATTCGTGTTTGGGCAATGCTGCGTTGGTGGTCCCTATGTAGACTTGTCCACAGCTGCATGGTATACGGTAGACTCCTGCAGAGGTGAGAGGATCCCTCTTGTCCTTTGCTGAACGTAGCATTTGTTGGATTTTCTTGGTGGGTTTGTAGATTGTTTGTATGTTGTGCTTCCTCATCAGCTTCCCTATGCGATCAGTGGTTCCCTTGATGTATGGCACGAACACTTTTCCTCTTGTTCATGCCTCGCACACTGCAAGAGCTTCCAGGTGTGGTTAAACTACAAAGCTTGTTGTCCTCAGTTGGTGAATTGTTGCTTCTGGGGTGGTGAGCATTGTAATACTGAACCTCTGGAGGGTATGTGTAGAGAAAGGCTGGCTTAACATACTGCACTTCAGAAATTAATAAATGCAACCTGTAGTTATTTCCGAGAAGCAGATGTCAAACGCTTCACCTTGTAATTTTTTGCTATATATGAGAGAATCTTCCCTGCTCTGGTGGATGGACCTATCAAAATACAATAAATACAATGTGATTGGGAAGGTCCTTGGGAGATCCTGACTCATGATGCCATTTCCCCAAAGACTGGCAGAGATGACTGATCGGAAAGAAGACTAGCACACAGATGATGCATGAATCATCATTCACTTACTTCCTTACATATAAATGATTTTTAAAAATATTTTTGCGGCTAAAATTGAGCACACTCAAGCTCGCTTTAACATGCCTTGTTTATTATTTGTTCCAACATGGCCAAAGAGGTTCTTTCACAAATCCCGCAACAACAAACCGAGGTGAGCTTGCAGCACTGCCTAGTTTGGAAGAAGTCAGCAATGTCATCAGCCAACAAAAACCTGATGGGATCCCTGCTGAAATCTTTAAAGAGGGAGGACCTGAGCTGACACAACAACTCCGCCAGCTCATTGAAAAAGTGTGGGTGACTGAGAAAATCCCAGCAGATTTCAAGGATGCCACCATCATAACCCTTATAAAGAACGGGGCAATCAATCCCACATCGCTGCCACCAATTATAAAGATCTGATAAATCAGTCCCACTCGCTGACATCAAATTATAAAGGACCGATCGATCAAATGACCGTTCAAACTATAAAGTTTTGATCAAACGATCACTCAAGCTGCCACCAATATTATAGACCGGATCAATGAAAGGATTTCACCAGCTGCCAGATCAAATATGTAATGATCACCGTTCAATAGATAGACACCAATGTGTAGAGCAGCCACTAAATGTTAAGGGTTAACCAGATTATTAGGCTTTTTTACTCATGAAAGAACTTTTCTTTTGTTTAATAGAGAGAACCATGAACTGAGTAAGTTATGGCTGTATCATTACTAAAAACTGAGAATTGTTGAAACTGTTTCTTCTGCTTGGTTGACGTCTTTCTACCTTTATAACTGAGGAACCCCAGCAACAGAATCTTTTGTGTTGCAATGCAGCTTGTTCTTCAGAGAGATTAAATGCTTATCTAAATTATTCACACACAGTCTGTGGTAGTGTGAAAATAGAATGAAACGTTTATTAAACAATCTTGAAAGAAATCTTCAGTTACAGAATGCTTATTGGTTTCGTTAAAATCGTACAGTACTTATATTCAGTTCCAGTTATAATTTTCAAAGTGAGAATTTATATCTTCTCTTAAATTAGATTCTTCACTACAAACAGCCCAAAACACAGGGTCTGTCTAGAACCAGTTCTTCTTCTGAAGTAACTATCTAAGTCTCTTTCTAAGTTAGACTTCTCACTAAATCTTCACTGCTCTTCTTCAACTACAACTGCTCTCTCTAACTCTTCATTCCAACTCTTTCCTCAGGATTTTAAAACACCTCTTTTTTCCTCTCAGCTTCTCCTAAACTCCGCCCCCTTTCTCTACACCAATCCCGGCCATTCCCTGCTGTCTAATGCCTAGGACACGCCTCCCTGCTCTGAACGACACTGAAGATGGCGTCTCCCTTCTCCAAAATGGCTGCTGATGCTTCGCCTTGGCCATTCTCTATCTTTCTAGGCTTACAGGCTTTTCCTGGCCCTGCATCCTGGCTGTAACTAAGGTAAGGGTTCTTCACAACCCTCTTCAAAAAGGGGGAAAGAACAGACAGCAGACCCGCCCTGGAGGATTATACTACTTGGACAACGAGGGATCGCCTAAATATTATTTGTTGGTAAATTGAGATAATTCACCTTCCTCAGTTGCTTTGGCCTTCCAAATTTCTACTTGAAGGCACAAAGTGGTAAAAACACCGGACTCCTTAATTCAGCTTTTACTGAAAGTGGCACTTTCAGTAAAAGTGGCACTTTCAGTGGCACTTTCTGCACATCTCTGTGGCACTTTCAGTGGCACTTTCTGCACATCTCGGTAGTTTTAACCCATGCACTACTAAAACAACTATAAGCAATTTTCACACCAGATAACATTACACATTATTATACTAGCTGTCCCCAGCCATGCATTGCTGTGCCCTGGTCTGGTTAGATGGAAAAGAAAGAAAAGAGAGAGCTGATTTCTAATATAATGAATTTCACAGTGCTTATGGGTTTACATTATTTGTTGTTGTTCCATTGTCTGTGCAGATATAGAGATGGTCTGGTGTGCCAACTCTAGAACATGCAACATATAGTTGTCCATGAGAGAAGCGATCTGTGTCTAGATCTGAACCGCAGAATTCTAATGATTGGCCCTGAGCTTTGTGGATGGTGATTGCAAATGCCAATCAAATTGGGGATTGCAATCTCTTAAACTGAAATGGTCTATCTGTTGGAATCATAGGAATGCGAGGAATGAGGATATCTTCAACCCAGAATATCAAGGCAGATAAACTGGGTTATATGGCTATGTGGACTCTAGAAACACAGCCGTGGTAGAGGCAGGCCTTGCAGACTTGGAACAGCAGTGGCTTCCTTGGCTGGGTTTCTCTCTCCACCTGGAATGGAGTCTCCCTCTTGTCCTTCTGCCCTTCCGAGCCTTGTTGTCTTCTCTAGCCATGTCTTCTCATTAGGTGGCCAAAGCATGGAAGTCCACGTTCTGGTTATTTATTATTTACTAGCCTTCCCCTGCCACACGTTGCTGTGGCCCACATGGGGTTCTGTGTGGGAGGTTTGGCCCAATTCTATAGTTGGTGGGGTTCAGGATGCTCTTTGACTGTAGGTGAACTATAAATCCCAGCAACTACAACTCCCAAATGTCAAGATTCTATTTTCCCCAAACTCCACCAGTGTTCACATTTGGGCATATTGAGTATGCTTGTAGAGTTTGGTCCAGATCCATCATTGTTGGAGTCCACAGTCATCTTTGGATGTAGGTGAGCTACAACTCCAAAACCAAAGGACAGTGCCCATCAAACCCTTCCAGTATTTTCTGTTGGTCCTGGGAGAACTGTGTGCCAAGTTTGGTTCAATTCCATCGTTGGTGCGGTTCAAAATGTTCTTTGATTGTAGGTGAACTATAAATCCCAGCAACTACAACTCCCAAATGACAAAAATCAATGTTTTTTGAGTGAAGGACATACATTGGATTGTTAGGTGTCTTGTATCCAAATATGGTGTCATTTCGTCTAGTGATTTTTGAGTTCTGTTAATCCCACAAATGAACATTACATTTTTATTTATATAGATTTATTTACAATATTTATAGCCCGCCTTTCTCAGCCATACGGTGACTCAAGGTGGGTTACATCCCGTATAGACTACTGCAACACACTCTACGTGGGATTTATTTATTTTATTATTATTTACATTATTTCTATCCCACCCATTTCACCCCGAAGGTGACTCAGTCGGCACAATTCGATGCCGAAACAAAATACATACATTAATAAAGCAAAAACATCAAGTGCAATTAAACATAAACGACAGTGCATAATAAATAAGACTGTCCAGAAGCTTCAATTGGTGCAACGGATGGCAGCCAGATTGCTAACAGGAACGGCACCCAGGAAACATACAACTCCTCTGCCGCGCCAGCTCCACTGGCTGCCAGTTTGCTACCGGGCACAATTCTAAGTGCTGGCTTTAGCCCTAAACGGTTCTAGCCCAACTCACCTGTCCAAACACATGTCCCCTTATTAACCATTTGGGACCTTAAGATCATCTGGGGAGGCCCTGCTCTTATTACCACCTTTGTCACAAGCACGTTTGGTGGGGATGAGAGGCAGGGCCTTCTTGGTGGTGGCCCCTCAGCTGTGGAACACCCTCCCTAGGGACATTAGATCGGCCCCCTCCCTTTTAACATTCCGGAAAAAAGTCAAGACGTGGCTTTTTGAGCAAGCGTTTGCAAATGCAGAGTAACTGACTTAGGAAAATGGAACGACTGGACGATGGGACTGGAGAATGTTTTTAACAAGGAGACACTATGGATTTATGTTTTGATTTTGTTATGGTTTTTATTATATGTTAATGTTTTTAATTGTATCTATGGTATTGTGGACATTAATTGTATTTATGTTATTGTGGACATTGAATTTTGTCCTGTAAACCGCCTTGAGTCACCTGTGGGCTGAGAAAGGCAGTATACAAATACAGTAAATAAATAAATAAATATAATCCAGAATATCACGGCAGATAAACCTACAATATCTGGGTCGCTGTAGGTTTTTTGGGGTGTATGGCCATGTTCTAGAAGCATTCTCTCCTGATGTTTCGCCTGCATTGTGAGGTCACAATATCTGCTTTGAAGTGGGATATATAGCAGTGTGGACTCAGATAACCCAGATCACAGCAGATAAATTTGGGAATTTCTGCCTTGATATTCTGGGGCCCTTTCCACACAGCTGTATAAAACCCACATTGAACTGGATTATATGGTAGTGTGGATTCAGATAATCCAAAACAGATTAGACTTCCATACTTTGGCCACCTAATGAGAAGACATGGCTAGAGACGACAATAAGGCTTGGAAGGGCAGAAGGACAAGAGGGAGACTCCATTCCAGGTGGAGAGAGAAGCCCACCCCAGGAAGCCACTGCTGGCCCGAGTCTGCAAGGCCTGCCTCTTGCGGTTGGTCCTCCAGGTGTTTTGGACTTCAGCTCCCAGAATTCCTCACCGTTGGCCAAACTGGCCGGGGCTTCTGGGAATTGAAGTCTTACCAAAAAACCCTGGAGGAGGAAAGCTTAAAAAGCTCTGCTCTACCGAAACCAAGCAAGAGGCGCTGCCACCTGCCGGCGAAAGAAGGAACTACACTAAATCCCGAAAAGCTCCGGTTAGGTACTATACAAGAGTATAGTACTATACAACAGAGCATGCGCAGTGAGAACGCCGCTTACTACGGTAAAGTCTCGCGATATTTGGTCCTTCCTTCGTTTAGCTGTGGGAGTCGCTTCCGTGGAGCCGTCCTCGTGGCTGCGTGATGCATTCAGACGACGTGAGTCCGGGAGGGAAGAAAGATGCGGGTTGGAGGACTGGGTTGGCACGTGGAGAGGGGGTTCACGTGTGGAGGGATGTTTGCACGTGGGCCCCACAGGATTGGAGGGGACCGGAAGTGCTCCTACTTCTGCCAAGAGTGCCCTTGGCCATATGCAGAGTGTGGCTTCCACTTCTAGAATTGGAAGAGGCCTCAAGGGCCATCCAACCCAACTCTATTCTGCCATATAGTAATACACAATCAAAACACCCCCGACAGATGGCCATCCAGCCTCTCTGCTTGAAAACCTCCAGAGAAAGAGGCTCCATTATAGAATCCTAGAGTTGGAAGAGATCTCGTGGGCCATCCAGTCCAACCCCCTTCTGCCAAGAAGCAGGACAATTGCATTCAAAGCACCCCCGACAGATGGCCATCCAGCCTCTGTTTAAAAGCTTCCAAAGAAGGAGCCTCCACCACACTCCGGGGCAGAGAGTTCCACTGCTGAACGGCTCTCAGAGTCAGGAAGTTTTTCCTCATGTTTAGATGGAATCTCCTTTCTTGTAGTTTGAAGCCATTGTTCCGCATCCTAGTCTCCAGGGCAGCAGAAAACAAGTTCGCTCCCTCATCTCTATGACTTCCTCTCACATATTTATACATGGCTATCATATCTCCCCTCAGTCTTCTCTTCTGCAGGCTAAACATGCCCAGCTCTTTAAACCGCTCCTCATAGGGCTTGTTCTCCAGACCCTTGATCTTTTTGGTTGCCCTCCTCTGGACACATTCCAGCTTGTCAATCTCACCCTTCAATTGTGGTTCCCAGAATTGGACACAATATTCCACGTGTGGTCTAACCAAGGCAGAATAGAGCATGGGGAGCATGATTTCCCTAGATCTAGGCACTAGGCTCCTCATGATGCAGGCCAAAACCCCATTGGCTTTTTTTGCTGCCATGTCACATTGTTGGCTCATGTTTAATTTGTTGTCCACAAGGACCCCAAGATCTCAAGCCAGGCCTCCTCCATTCTGTATCTTTGCATTTCCTTTTTTCTGCCTAAGTGGACTGGACTTCAGGGCAGCTCTTATTGCCAGGAAGTTCTTCCTAATGTTTAGGTGGAACCTCTTTTTATGCCATGTGCCTCTTTGTCCCACCCTGGTCATTCCACTGATATATAAACCCATTTTCCTAGTTCCAACAGACCTCAATACCTCTGATGCTTGCCATAGATGCAGGCGAAACGTCAGGAGAGATTGCCTCTAGAACATGGCCATATACCCCCCCCCCCCCCCCAAAAAAAAAACACCCTTCAACAAGCCAATGATTCCAGCCATGAAAGCCTTCAACAATACAATCAACAATATATTAAAACAATAATTAAAACTATTGATTAACACACAGCTATTAAAATCAGAGTCTAAAATCTGGTCCGGGTCAAATCATTGCCATGAGTGTTAGAAGCTTCTTTTACTTGCTACTCACTAATTGAACGTTTAGTCCCAAAGCCAGGTCTTGATTTTTCTTCTAAAGGACAGGAAGGAGGTGGCCATTCTGATGTCTCTGGGCAGACTGTTCTACAGCCGGGGGGCCACTGATGAGAAGGCCCTGTCTCTCGTCCCCACCAATCGTATTTGTGATGTTGGTAGGGTCAAGAGCAGGGTCTCTCCAGATGATCTTAAGTTTCGTGATGGTTCGTACAAGGAGAAACGTTTGGACAGGTAGATACATATTGATTATATGTCAATGCAGATCCAGCCTTAGGGTCTGCAGCGCCCATCAGCCTTGACGATCAAGGGATGATGGGAAATTCAGTCTAACCCAGGTATGGGCAAACTTGGGCCCTCCAAGTGTTTTGGACTTCAACTCCCACAATTCCTAACAGACGGTAGACTGTTAGGAATTGTAAGAGTTGAAGTCCAAAACATCCAGAGGGGCAAGTTTGCACATGGCTCATCTAACCCCATCTGAAGAAACACCATGTTTTCTGCATTGAAGGGACAACAGTAAGCATTGAACATAGACAATGTCCGTTTCATAAAACACCAAGCCATTTCACACCTCAATATGTGTTTGGGATTCAAATGTATTTATCCAAAGATTAAAGTTGAAGGTGAAGGAATCCTATGGGTCTCTCCATTGGAAGGACTGTCTTAACACTCTTCCTTTACTTATGTTTGTGTTAACTATGTCTTATTGCAGGGATCCTCGGACTTTTTAAACAGAGGGCCAGGTCACAGTCCCTCAAACTGTTGGAGGGCCGGATTATAATTTGAAAAATATATATGAATGAATTCATATGAATACTGCACATATCTTATTTGTAGTGCAAAAAAACACTTAAAAACAATACAATAATTAAAATGAAGAACAATTTTAACAAATACAAAACGTTAGTATTTCAATGGGAAGTGTGGGCCTGCTTTTGGCTGATGAGATAGGATTGTTGTTGTTGTGCATTCAAGTAATTTCAGACTTAGGTTGACCCTGAGGGAGGGCCGGGTGAATGACCTTGGAGGGCCGTATCTGGCCCTCGGGCCTTAGTTTGAGGACCCGTTTTATTGGATTGTTTTGTTTTATTTTTCATTGCAATTTTTAATTCTTTGTTGTAAGCTCACTGTTATTACTGTTGCTTTATTGTGTGTTATTTTGATATGTTTATACTCACATGAGGCATTGAATGCTTGCCTTTGTGTGTGTAAACTGTCCCGAGTCCCTTCGGGGAGAGACAGCGACCCAGAAATAAATAAATAAATAAATAATTGAAACACAACAAGATGAGTCCACAGCAGACAAGATCACTCTGCTGGCTGTTGTATTGGATCACACATCGGACACTTCCGAAGTGTCTAGAACTGTGTGATATATCCGCGAATAATGTGTGCAGATCCCAGTAAGGTGGCCTTCTGCAGCTGGCAGATGGTAATCTTGTCAGCGCTGATTGTGTTTAAGTGCAGGCCAAGGTCTTTAGGCACCACACCCAGTGTGCCGATCACCACTGGGACCACCTTGACTGGCTTGTGCCAGAGTCTTTGCAGTTCGATCTTTAAATCCTCATATCGTGTCAGCTTTTCCAGTTGTTTCTCTTCAATCTTGCTGTCACCTGGGATTGCAACATCGACAATCCCTACTTTGTTTTTTAACACGATTGTGAGGTCAGGAGTATTGTGCTCCAAAACTCTGTCTGTCTGAATTCAAAAGTCCCAGAGGAGTTTGACGTGTTCATTTTCTGTAACTTCTGTAACTGTAAATAATAATAATAATAACCCTTTCAAACCAAATAAGAGTTTTTTGGTTTTTTTTTTTTTGCTTGTGACGTTTTTACTAAGTAAACCAACATTATCTTTTATCAGATTGTCTGGGACACTCTTGGCAACAGGCAGTTCTGCTCATTTAAGATCAAGTGAGTATTCCTGGTTTGAGTTCTTCTCTCTCTCTTGAATTCAAGTACTATAGAATGCATTGGTCCCACTGCTCTACCCAGTTTATTTCAATTAATTTTTCAACTGCCTTATTTATTGACTAAGCACGAGTTCTAACTTGTTGGTTATAAACCACTCAAGTCTCAATGAAGAGATGTCTTAGTATTGCTTAAAAATGGTTTACACTTGAGGAATCTCCTATGCTTATAATATTTGGTTTTGCCCTTGGTTATTATTCATCATTGGAGCTCCCAGTGGCACAATGGGTTAAACCCTTATGCTAGCAGGTCTGAAGACCAACAGGTTGGAGATTCGAATCTGGGGAGAACGTGGATGAGCTCCCTCTGGCAGCTCCATTCCCCATGCGGGGATATGAGAGAAGCCTTCTACAAGCAGTTCTAACTGGATGTTCTTAATCCCATTACCTGTATAACTTTTATGCTAAAGTGTAATAAGGCTCTTTGGACCATAATAAAAATGTTGTTGTTGTTGACTTGCAGTTTCTCAACGTCGCTCCTGACACAGGAAAAAATAATTATTCAGTATTGTGTCAAACTTCATCAAATGGTCTGTGCTGATGGGTGTTATAATAATGATGATGATGATAATAATAATTTATTTATTTGACTAGTCATATGACAATTTCAAAATATAATACAAATAAAATCCAAGGCAACAAGGAGAGGACAGCAGCTGACCTATTTACAGTCAGAATCTTATTTTACTGGTTCTTCTTTCAGGAAATGTGCTCTTTTCTTGATAACTTTGTTAACAAAACAGCACTTTCAAAAAGTTCCACCTTAGTTACCACTGGAGTAAATCCCTTGGAGCTAAAGTACGGTCCTGTCACAAGGCTCAGAATTAATGCTCTGTCTCTGTTGAAAGTATGTTTTATTGGGTTGCTGTGAGTTTTCCGGACTGTATAGCCATTTCTAGAAGCATTCTCTCCTGACATTTTGCTCACATCTATGGCAGGCATCCTCAGAGGCTGAGGGGTCAGCCTCTGAGGATGCTTGCCACAGATGTGGGCAAAACGTCAGGAGAGAATGCTTCCGGAACATGGCTATACAGCCTGGAAAACTCACAACAACCCAGTGGTTCTGGCCTTAAAAACCTTCGACAATACATATAATAATAATAATAATAATAATAATAATAATAATAATAAATTATTATTATTATTATTATTATTATTATTATTATTCCAGCCTTTGACAACATGTATGTTTCATTTCTTTTCTCTTCTTTGCAGGACAAAAACACAGAGCTTTTGCCGGAATGAATTCAATATCACGGGCCTGTGCAACCGCTCCTCCTGCCCCTTGGCCAACAGCCAGTATGCAACTATTAAGGAGGAGAAAGGTGAGGATCTTTGGAGGGCTTCCTCGATACGATGCTTAGGTTTCGCTGGTCTGATGAAAGGTCTATAACAGAGCATTCCAAACTTTTCATGTTGGGGACACACTGTTCAGATGTGCCTCATTTCGCGACACATTCAGTTTTGTGAGCAAACCGGAGTTTAAATCCCATCATAAGATTTTCATACAACAGATATAAGTTTAATTTACTGTGTAAATTAGGATTGGGAATGTTCCCTTTATGCTTCTTATATACTACAGTTGATTCCCTGTGTAGTTTCCTCTATAGCTGTTCATCACAAACAGCATTGTCAGCAGTTCCATCTTGTCTCCTTTGCTATGCTAATAATATAATATAATATATTGTATATAATATTATAATGTAATACAATATAATACTACTAATAATTATTATAATATAGAATTATTATAATTCTATATTTTATATTACATGTAATATTACTAATAATATTACAATGTAATGGTATAGTACAATATAGTAATATATAATACTGATATTATACTATGCTAATAATATATTGTATGTATATATATCTTGCAAGCCGCTCCCCTTTGGGTTGAGAAGGGTGGCAAATAAATGTCGTAAATAAATAAATAAATAAATGCCGCCAGGATTGTATATGCGAAACTATGGAAGCAAAACGTAACGCCAGAGAAGATCAATTGGTTAAAAAAGATAATTGAAATCAAGGACATGGATACACTAACTTTTTTATTAAGAAAGAACACAGGCAACCCGGTTAAACAAACAAACTGGTCATCAATCGAGGACTATATAGAAAAGAAATATAAGGAGATGTAAGGGAATGAATTGGCTAAAAGAGAATTTGTAAAAAATATCAGTACATTTTTATAGGGAGAGCATACGCACAATAGTGACAATGTGGGCAGAATTAGAAGGAAGTCCTATTTTATTTTGTGTGTTTTTCCCCCCCTCTTTTCTCCTTTTTCTTATTTTTCCCGGGGTTTGGTGATTTTTGATTTTTTACATTTTATTGTACTCTTTCTATCTTATTTTCCTACTTTTCTATCTTCTTTTAATATATTCCCCCAATTTCCATGTAACTATATAAACTGTTAATAAAAAGTTATTTTAAAATAAATAAATAAATAAACAGATTTTCTTTTCTCAGTGAGAAACTTATCCATTGTAGTGGTAATTACTTCAACCCAATCAACAAACTGTGCCAGTTATAAAAATTATAACATTACCTGCGTTTGAACAGCACCAGCACCCTGCTTCGGTAGTGGTTAAGTCTCTTTGGAGGTTTTTAAACGAAGGCTGGATGGCCATCTGTCAGGGTGCTTTGATTGGGTCTTCCTGCCTGGCTGAAGGGGGTTGAACTAGATGCCTTCTGGGGGTCTCTCCCAGTGGAGTCTCCTTCTCTAAAGGTTTTAAAAGAGTGCTGCCTATATGTTTATGTCTGTTTATCCTATGAAATACTTCAATAAAAAATACTATGAAGAAAGAGTGCTGCCAAAGGCTTTAATGGCTGGAATCATTGGGTTCCTGTGAGTTTTCCAGGCTGTATAGCCATGTTCCAGAAGCATTCTTTCCTGATGTTTTGCCCACAACTATGGCAGGCATCCTCAGAGGTTGAGCGGTCTGTTGGAAACTAGGCAAGTGAGGTTTATATATCTGTGGAATGTCCAGGGTGGGAGAAATAACTCTTGTCTGCTTGAGGCAAGTGTGAATGTTGTAATTGGTCATCTTGATTAGCATTTAATGGGCTTGCAACTTCAAAGCCTGGCTGGTTGCTGCCTGAGGGAATCCTTTGTTGGGAGGTGTTGGCTGGCTCCAATTGGGTCTTCTCAGGAATCCCCCTGCTTTTTGAGTATTAGGTCCAGACTATTTGACAAACCTCATCTCCTTCTACAGACCAACTTGGACTCTGCGGTCATCGGGGGAGGCCCTCCTGTCAGTTCCACCCCCATCCCAAGTACGGCTGGTGGGGACGAGAGAAAGGGCCTTCTCTGTGGCTGCCCCCTACCTGTGGAACTGTTAAACATGCCCCCCTCCCTCTCCACTTTCAAAAAACAGCTGAAGGCATACCTTTGCTCTCTGGCTTACGAGGAGGAGCAATAGTAGTTGGTAATACTACCATTCTATCTCTGATTAATAGTTGCCATCTATATCTGTGCCCTACTCAGCCCACCTGCTCAATAGATATCTTGAGCAATGATTAATCGATTTGCCCCAAAGAAATGGGAAATCAATGTTTCCTTTGATGTTGGATGTTTTGTCTTATGTCTGTTATAACAGGCTGTGGTTTTGATATAATTTTAGTTTTTTAAGTTATAGTTTGTATTTATCTGTTGGGTTGTATAAATTTTGTTACCATTGATGTATTGTTGTTGTATTAGGGCATTGAATGTTTGCTTTTTATTTTTGGAATCCTCCCTGAGTCCCTTTCGGGAGAAAGGACGGAATATAAATAAAGTTATTATTATTATTATTGTTATTGTTATTATTATTGCTTTTTATTTACTGTCCCAACTTTAGATTTTTTATTAATACTGGCAGCCAGTTTTTTGATCTTGTGTTTTGCCTTCTGTTGTGGCATATTTCTTCTTCTGATGACTTGAAAGTATGTCAGGCCTGGCATTACATGAATAGAGGTGTCTACTTTTCCTTTCCAGGACAGTGTTATCTGTACATGAAGACCATTGAACGGGCTGCTTTCCCCAATCGGCTATGGGAGCGGGTAAGCCATCCTCCTAAACTGCCAGGCTGTTTGATATTTGTGTGATAAATTGTGCTCAAGGTAACAACATTAACATAAAATTGAGCCCACCAGGACTCTAAGATCTTCTGGGGAGGCCCTGCTCTCGATCCCGCCTGCTTCACAAGCACGGCTGGCGGGGACGAGGGACAGGGCCTTCTCTGTGGTGGCCCCTCGGGTGTGGAGCGCCCTCCCCACGGATGTGAGATCAGCCCCTTCGCTAATGGTGTTTAGAAGAAAATTAAAAACTTGGCTGTTTGAACGGGCATTCGGATAAACAGTGCAATGAATATGATGAGTACAGGAACGGAATTGGATCACGATTCTAGTTACGAGATGTTATTGAGTTGTTATTGATGTGTCATTATTTTGTATACTATGTTCTTAATGGTTTTAAATTGTATATTTTGCTGTATTGTATATTGCTGTATTGTATATTGTTTTGATTGACGTTTTACCCTTGTTGTAAACCACGTTGAGTCGCCTGTCGGGCTGAGAAACTGCGGTATACAAGCAAAGTAAATAAATAAATAAATAAATAAAATTGGCAACAAGATTGAGATAATCTAGCACACTCCAGTGTTGGGCTGCAGCTATTTACCAGGATGCAAAATCAAAGGCTCCTCTGAAAAGACGAGACTGAAATTCTTGTTTGTTTTGCTGTTGATCTCTACCTGTCCCAGGCATGATGGGCTATGCATTACTTCTCAGTCTGTCTCAGACTTGACAATTTCTTACCTTATTTGCTGGCAGGTCCGACTGAGCAAAAACTATGAAAAAGCACTGGAGGAGATTGATGAGAACCTGATCTACTGGCCCCGCTTCATCCGGCACAAATGCAAGCAGCGCTTCACCAAGATCACGCAGTACCTGATCCGAATCCGCAAGCTGACACTGAAGAGACAGTAAGTCAAGGCTGAGCAACATACAGCCTTGGATTCACATTATTTTCTTCATCCTGGCAAAAAAGGCAAAGGTCCTCTTGGTTACCTCCAAGTGTGTCAATTTTCCTTTTAAGTAGGTGCTTCCTACATAGTTTAATATTGAGAGAGTCCATTTTGCAAAACCAGGAGGAGAGTTGAGTTAATCTTAATTTGGCTTTGAGGGTGTTAGGTCAAGGAATGTGGTCCCTTCGTGTGCTGTAATGTCCCCATAAAGTCTTTTTTTGAAGCTTTTTCTTCTCTGCAGATTTACACTAGTCCTTTCTGTTGGGAATCAGAACTGTTGGGCTCAAAAATGACCCTTATTTGGGGTGATTCCATCATAAATAAAGCAGAGTGTTAGAAGCAAACTTCATAACCAGCAGAAACTTAGGTGTGGTGAGTTAGGATTAGCTTCCATTGATCAGGATTGCAGAGACCGCAAGGCTAAAGCACAAAACGAGCTCAGGCTTGCCAGGAACATTAAAAACAATAAAAAGGGATTCTTTTCTTATGTCAGTAGAAAAAGGAAAAACAAGGAGGCGATAGGGCCTCTTCGAGGAGAAGATGGGGCAATGCTGACAGGGGATAGGGAAAAGGCAGAACTACTTAATACCTTCTTTGCCTCGGTCTTCTCACAAAACGAAAGTCATCTTCAACCTCAGCAAGATGGAGTGGATGAGGGATTAGAGGACATCCAACCCCAAATTGGGAAACAAGTCATCCAGGAATACCTGGCCGCTCTAAATGAGTTCAAGTCCCCAGGGCCAGATCAACTACACCCAAGAGTATTGAAGGAACTAGCAGAAGTCATTTCGGAACCATTGGCAACCATCTTTGAGAGTTCTTGGAGAACGGGAGAAGTTCCAGCAGATTGGAGGAGGGCCAATGTGGTCCCAATCTTCAAGAAGGGAAAAAAGGATGACCCAAACAATTACCGTCCGGTCAGCCTCACGTCGATACCAGGCAAGATTCTGGAAAAGATTGTTAAGGAAGTGGTCTGCAAACACTTAGAAACAAATGCGGTCATCACTAATAGTCAACATGGATTTATCAAAAACAAGTCATGCCAGACTAATCTGATCTCTTTTTTCGATAGAGTTACAAGCTGGGTAGATGCGGGGAATGCCGTGGATGTAGCGTACCTGGATTTCAGTAAGGCCTTCGACAAGGTCCCCCATGACCTTCTGGCAAGGAAACTAGTCCAATGTGGGCTAGGCAAAACTACGGTGAGGTGGATCTGTAATTGGTTAATTGGACGAACACAGAGGCTTCCTCTTCATCCTGGAAAGAAGTGACGAGTGGAGTGCCGCAGGGTTCTGTCCTGGGCCCGGTCCTGTTCAACATCTTTATTAATGAATTAGATGAAGGGTTAGAAGGCAGGATCATCAAGTTTGCAGACGACACCAAATTGGGAGGGATAGCCAATACTCCAGAGGACAGGAGCAGGATTCAAAACGATCTTGACAGATTAGAGAGATGGGCCAAAACTAACAAAATGAAGTTCAACAGTGACAAATGCAAGATACTCCACTTTGGCAGGAAAAACAAAATGCAAAGATATAGAATGGGGGACGATGCCTGGCTCGAGAGCAGTACGTGTGAAAAAGATCTTGGAGTCCTCGTGGACAACAAGTTAAACATGAGCCAACAATGTGATGTGGCGGCAAAAAAAGCCAATGGGATTTTGGCCTGCATCAATAGGAGCATAGTGTCTAGATCTAGGGAAGTCATGCTACCCCTCTATTCTGCTTTGGTTAGACCACACCTGGAATATTGTGTCCAATTCTGGGCACCACAATTCAAGAGAGATATTGACAAGCTGGAATGTGTCCAGAGGAGGGCGACTTAAATGATCAAGGGTCTGGAGAACAAGCCCTATGAGGAGCGGCTTAAGGAGCTGGGCATGTTTAGCCTGAAGAAGAGAAGGCTGAGAGGAGATATGATAGCCATGTATAAATATGTGAGAGGAAGCCACAGGGAGGAGGGAGCAAGCTTGTTTTCTGCTGCCCTGGGGACTATAGAGCAATGGCTCCAAACTACAAGAAAGGAGATACCATCTGAACATTAAGAAGAACTTCCTGACTGTGAGAGCTGTTCAGCAGTGGAACTCTCTGCCCCAGAGTGTGGTGGAGGCTCCTTCTTTGGAAGCTTTTAAACAGAGGCTGGATGGCCATCTGTCAAGAGTGATTTGAATGCAATATTCCTGCTTCTTGGCAGGGGGTTGGACTGGATGGCCCATGAGGTCTCTTCCAACTCTTTGATTCTATGATTCTATGACAGAACTTTACGTTCAAAATATTTATTCAAGACAAGGAATACATTCTAGATAGAAAAGGTCTTGGAGCTAACTAGCTTGCTAAAACTATAATAATAATAATAATAATGATGATGATGATGATGATGATGATGATGATGATGTTGACAGACTTTACCTGCCCAGAAAATCAGGAGGCAGAGGGCTTCTGCAAGTGAAACAAATGGTAGAAGAAGAGAAACACACACTGGCAGATTATGTGAAAGGCAGCTAAGATCCAACATTGAGGGAAGTCAATAGTATTAAACTGCTTCAAGTGCAAAAGACAAAGAGGGAATATCGTAAAAACACAATCCAGAGCAGAAGCGAAAACTGGCAAAAGAAGGCTCTCCATGGACAGTTTCTGGGAAAATTTGAGAGCCAAACTGTCAGAGAAAAACATGGCTGTGGCTCACAAATGGAACTCTGAAAAAAGAGACAAAGGAGGGCCTGATTCTGGCAGCCCAAGAACACGCCATTAGAACCAATGTCATCAAAGCCAGAATTGAAAAGTCGACAAGAGATCCCTAGTGTAGACTCTGCAAGGAAGCAGATGAAACAATAGATCACATCCTGAGCTGCTGCAAGAAGATCGCACAGACAGACTACAAGCAGAGGCACAACACCATAGCTCAGATGATTCATTGGAACTTGTGCCACAAACACCATCTTCCTGCAACAAAGAACTGGTGGCATCACAAGCTGGAAAAGGTTACAGAGAATGAACATGTCTAACTCCTCTGGGACTTCCAAATTCTGACAGACAGAGTTTTGGAACATAATACTCCTGACCTCACTATCGTGTTAAAAAACAAAGTATGGATTGTCGATGTTGCAATCCCAGGTGAGAGCAGAATTGCAGAGAAACAACTGGAAAAGCTGACACGATATGAGGATTTAAAGATTGAACTGCAAAGACTCTGGCACAAGCCAATCAAGGTGGTCCCAGTGGTGATCGGCACACTGGGTGCAGTGGCTAAAGACCTTGGCCTGCACTTAAACACAATCGGCGCTGACAAAATGACCATCTGCCAGCTGCAAAAGGCCACCTTACTAGGATCTGCATGCATTATTTGCCGATACACCACACAGTCCTAGACACTTGGGAGGTGTCCGATGTGTGATCCAATACAACAGCCAGCAGAGTGTCTGCTGTGGACTCATCTTATTGTGTTTCAAATAATAATAATCATCATCATCATGATCATCATCATGATCATCATCTTTATTTGCACCCTGCCCCCATCTCCCCAAAGGGGACTTGGGGCAGCTAACATGAGGCCAAGCCCAAAGATACAATACAGCAAAATAAAATACAAAATGCAGGCAACAAAATTTCATCAGAGTAAAATACATAAAGTAGCAAAATAAAATACACAAAGTAGATTGACATATATAAAATCAAACACAATGGGCAGGCCAAATAGACAATAAAATGATAAAACCTTGGTTGAGGTAGGAATAGAAAAAGTATAATTGAGAGGAGCCCAAAAAGGATGAACAGTGGGGTTAGACTTTCAGTTTAGGATAGGGGAAAGTGCATCAAAGGGGCAATGCTGTAGATGGAACAGACATAAATGGGACAATGGTCACTCTCCAAAAGGGCAAAAAGTCCATGCAGTTTCATTTTGCCTGGAGAGAGGCAACATGCGTCCTCACTGGAAGGGAGACAGAGGCAGTGAGAGAGCCAAAAATGGAGAATGACCACATGACCAAACCTAGGGCAATAAAAATACATTTAGAGAGGAAGTTACATCATACCTCACAGAACTTCCATTGCTTCATCTTCAATGGGGGAGGAGATATTGGCAACGAAGAAGAGTAAAGACAAAGCCCCTTCTGGGATAAACTTGCATAGGAATATGAGTCTAGCTACTCATTGAGGACCGGAGACTTGATGACACAAGAGACTTGTGCAGTCCAGGGATGAAGCCCAACACTTTATTTAGCATGTCTGCTGCTCTATCTGATGATGCAGTTGACTTAGGTGTTTCCTATATGTGTCACAAAGCAAAAGGAGACCTCAGTAGGCCCTTATCACTAGCTCAGCTTGAGATCTTCCAGATGTGTTGGACTCTTTTCCTTGTAACGCAAAAAAGTGGTGAGGGGTGATGGATATAAGTTCAAAGACCATAGTTCAAAGACTGGAGGCCTCCTGAAAGTTGTATGCAAGTGCCTCATTTGCCCAGCTACTTTATTTATTATGTATATATTAATATTTATATTCAGCCTTACTAGAACAGAACTGAAAGTGGTTTCCCTTTGCTAACTACATCTTACCCTTTGCAGGAGGAAGCTCGTTCCATTAAGCAAAAAGATTGAAAGGCGTGAGAAGAGGAGAGAGGTACTTCCATGTTTGTTTATACTATTCAACCATAGAAGAAAAACAATAGACTTATAAATTAACTAGCTATCCCCTGCTACGCGTTGCTGTGGCCCAGCCTCGTGAGCTGGAAAATAAAGTAATGAGAAAGTTTGAGTTTCTAATATATGTAATATCTTGATGCTTGTGGGTTAAAAGTATTTCTTGTTTTTTTGTCAGTGTTGATCTACATCTATGGCTGGATGGCTCTTTGCCAGGAGGGCTTTGATTACGTTTTCTTGCCTTGGTGAAGGGAGTTGGACTGGGTGGCCTTAAGTATTTTCTGTTGGTCATGGGGGTTCTGTGTAGGAAGTTTGCCCCAAATCTCTAGTTTGTGGGGTTCAGAATGGTCTTTAATTGTAGGTGAACTATAAATCCCAGTAACTACAACTCCCAAATGTCAGGGTTATTTTCCCCAAACTCCATCTGTGTTCATATTTGGGCATATGGAGTATTCATTCCAAGTTTGGTCCAGATCCATCATTGTTTGAGTCTCTGGATGTAGGTGAACTACAACTCCCAAACTCAAGGTCAATACCCACCAAACCCTTCCATTCTGTTTGTCATTGGAGTTCTGTGTGCCAAGATTGGTTCAATTCCCTCATTGGTGGAATTCAGAATGCTCTTTGATTGTAGGTGAACCATAAATCCCAGCAACTACAACTCCCAAATGACAAAATTAATTTTTTGAGTGATGGTCACTCCCTGGGTTAGTAGATGTCTTGTGGCCAAATTTGGCAGCAATTTGCCCAGCGGATTTTGAGTTATGATGTCACTCAAAACGAACAAAGCATTTATATATATATATATAGATTATTCATCATCATCACCATCACCATCACTTTATTTCTTAATTAGTCGCTCTCCACCAAGGTGCTCCGAGCGACTTACAATTTAAAACAGTTTATACACAATATAAAACATTCAATATAAAAACATTCAACATAAAAACATTCAACATAAAAACATTCAGCAGTGACTATGGCAAAATTTGATCCGGTTACTTAAATGCACAACCAAACAGCCAAGTCTTGAGCGCCTTTGCAAAAGGTCGCAACTCCGACATTGCTCTAATGTATGGAGGCAATGAGTTCCACAGAATTGGAGCATAGGTCGAAAAAGCTCTACGCCTTGTAGCTTCCAGGTGTACCTCCCTAGGGCCCGGTATGTATAGGAGATTTTCCTGGGTGGATCGAGGTGACCACTGATGGAGAAAAGGAATGAGGCGGTCCCTAAGATATAAAGGTCCTTGGCCATTTTGAGCTCTAAATGTCAGGATCAGTATCTTGTAAGAGATCCGATGTTCTATTGGTAGCCAATGCAGTTGTTGCAGAATCGGTGTAATATGGGATCTTATAGATGATCCCGCTAGCAGCCTGGCTGCCGCATTTTGGACCATCCGAATCTTCTGAATTGTTGACTTCAGAAGGCCGGCATATAAGGCATTGCAATAGTCCAACCTCGTGGTTACTGTTGCGTGGATTACTGTTGCCAATGCTTCTACCGAAAGGTAGGATGCCAATTTCCTTGCCTGGAGATGAAAACAAGCCTGCTTACTTATGGCAGTGATCTGGGCCTTGACACAACTTGGATAAAATACACCGAACATTGTGCATAGAAGGTACTATTATTCCCCTTAAATTCTCTCTCCTTCCGCATTAACTCCATCTTCTTATCTCCCCAGGAAAAAGCTCTGGTTGCAGCTCAGCTGGACAATGCCATTGAAAAAGAACTGTTGGAGAGACTCAAGCAGGACACGGTACGATCTCATAAAGCAGTCCATGGAATTCATATTATCAGATGATTTCCAGTAAACAGTGCTTGAACTGAAGTAGCACTGGTATATATGCCTAAAACTATAACTGTATGGCCAGAATCTAAACATTATGGTATCCAAAAATTCCACAATGTTTGCTTTGAAAGCTCTGGCTTTTTGGGGGAGTTTTTTTTTTCATCTGTGGATTGGCTATTATCTAATCATGCTTTGCTTCTTCTTGGCCTGTTTAGTATGGCGATATCTATAACTTCCCCATCCATGCCTTCGACAAAGCTCTAGAACAACAGGAGGTGGAGAGTGAAAGTGACTCAGATGTGGAGAAGGAGGAAGAGGAGGAGGAAAATGTAATATTTGTTTTGGTAACTTCGTTGCATGTGTTTCATCTTTCCAATTCGGAGGGAATTTTGTTTTCAAGATACTCTTTTAATGTATTGGCTTTGGAATGCAATCCTTTCCTCTTAAATTTCTTCCTGCTGTAAATAAGAAGGGAAATGGAGAGGTGGCTAGTGTTACTCATCTCCTTGTGATGTTAAAATGTTTATGTGATTAAAATACTAATCTTAAAAAGATGCAACTATGTCTAGAGCATTGTTACAGTCAGTATCAAGAACCTAGGGTGTAGACTGGAGGTTTCAAAAGAAAGCCTTGATTATCTTTTTGCTGTGCCCAAAATGCTGTGTATGAATATGTGCATATCCTACTTCCAGTTCCTGAGTACTGGGAAAACATGTTGACTTGAATATAAGTCGAGGGTGGGAAATGCAGCAGCTACTGGTAAACTTCAAAATAAAAATTGATAGCAATAAAATTACATTAATTGAGGCATCAATAGTTTAAATGTTTTGGAATATTTTCATAAAGCTGTAATTTAAGATAAGACTGTTCAACTCTGAATAATAATAATAATAATAATAATAATAATAATACTTTATTTGTACCCCGCTACCATCTCCCCAATGTAAATGTGCTTCCGTATCCTTCCAATAATAATAGAGTAAAATAATAAATGTAAGAAAAATAATAAGAGTAAAGTAATAAATGTAATACAAATAATAGAGTAAAATAATGTAAATGTAAGAGTAAAATAATAAATGTAATAATAACAATAATAAATTAAAATAAATGTAATACAATAGAGTAAAAAATGTAAATGTAATACTAGTAGAGTAAAATAATAAATGTAATGCAAATAATAGAGTAAAATAATGTAATAGAGTAAAATAATAAATGTAATAACAATAATAAAGTAAAATAAATGTAATACAAGTAATAAGAGTAAAAAATGTAAGTGTAATAATAGTAGAGTAAAATAATAAATGTAATAAAAAATAATAATCCAGTAAAATAATAAAGTAAAATAATAACTATAATAAAAATAGTAGTAATAGAGTAAAATAATGTAAATGTAATAATAGTAAATAGAGTAAAATAAAAATGTAATAAAAAATCATAACAGCCCAGTGAATTAATAAATAACTTTGACTCGAGAGTAAGACGAGGGGGCCGTTTTCAGACTTTAAAAAGAGCTGAAAAACATGATGGCTTATACTTCAGTATATATGGTACCTCCAATTCCATTGGTCAGTGACTCAGAATGGGTTGAAAGAGCATTTGAGGAGATATGATGAAACTGAAATTTAACTACTGTTCCCTAGTTGATTTTACTTACTATTTTAGTGAAGCAAAAAAGATGTTTGGTAATTGATCTCAAACTGCATGGAAATGTTTGGCATATCATCTGAACTCCAAATCAGTTCAACAAAGGATATAAAAGTAGATGATTTGTGGAGAGGTCCCCAAAGTAGATTTATTTATTTATTTATTTATTTATTTATTTATTTATTTATTTATTTTTTAAACTTATATGCTGCCACTCCCCTGGGGCTCGGAGCAGCTTACAAGAATAGCTAAAATCTAACAAAATTTAAAAGCAATTTAAAACAATTTAAAATCAACAATATCAAACATTAAAAGCCTGTCAAAACAGGTATGTCTTACATGCCCTGCGGAAAGCTGGTAAGTCCCGCGAGGCACGGACTTCAGATGGCAAACTATTGTTTGTGGTCTTCATTATGGTTCCATTAGATAACTATGAAGTCTGTGGATTTGTTCATCACTGTATAAACACTTCATTACACAGAATTGAAGTTTTATGAGAAGAAATGCTGCCCTCTCTTTCTCTCAGTATTCTCATTTTTTTTTGCAATGCTATGTCTGCAGGATTCAAAGAGGGAGTTTGTAGAAGTGGATGAGAGTGATCTCAGTGACTTTGAGGTAAGTGAAAACTTGCCCCTGTACAGCCTTTCTTCAGTCAGTTGACCCCCAGATGTGTTTGACACCAGCTTCCAGCATCTCTACAGCTACCCTTCCTATGGAAGGAATGGGAATTGTTGTCCAACACATTCAGGGGGCACCAGATTAGGAAAATCTGACCTTCTGTTCTTAAACCGGTGTGTGATACTGTAGTGCTTGTGTCCTTTTGCTTCTTCTAATATTAGATTATACAATTTAATAAGCCTTTTTTATTTATAAGATATATACATAATTGTTACTTTCATACAATGATAGATGTTCTTTTTTTATATAACAGAAATATTGGTTGGGTGAGTGGGCTTTTTAATGAAAGACCCTCCTCATAAATGTACAGCAGAGTAACATTAGCAGCAGGCTGACCCAGCACCAGTAGCCAAGTGATAAAAAGAACCAAAAATACACAGACCAATGTTATCTCTTCCTCAGGAGGCTTTTCTTTATAGCAAAATAATATGGTTGCACTATTTACAAGAACAAGGTTTCCATAACACAAAGTTCTTTATACTTCCTTCTTTGCTTCCACTCTGGGCTTCTTTCTCATGCAGATAAAAAGCTTCGCTCTCACACCAAATTTACACATGAGCTTCACACAGTAGTATTTAATGTTTTTAAATGTTTTATGGTGTTTTTGGGCATCGAATTGTTGCCACTATAAACCGCCCTGAGTTGCCTGAGGGATGAGAAGGGCAGTCTAGAAATACAGTAAACAATAAATATTTACACACAGCAGCTTTCATACTGGAGCTTCACACACGAGGCCTTCAACTTGGGGCTTCTCTCGCCGAAGCCTTCTCACACCAGGCCTCTCTAACTCTGCAGCTGACCTCACACTGAGGCCCATTAACACTGAGGTTTACCTCACACTGAGGCCTCTCAGACTGAAGCCTCTTCATACTGAGGGCAACTAACAGAGGTGTATTAAGCAACAGGTACACTGCTTATATTGAACTGCAGCTTTTGCTGAGTCATTGCATCCATTTTACCCTTTCAATGATTGACTCGTGTTTTGTAATTAAAAATACTTAGTTAATTTTTAATATTTCTGACAATATTGGATCTGAGTGGCCACGTTCAGCACTTCTATTCAGACCTCTTGACTCGTCAGAAACATTTGTCTTCACTACTAATATTCTTTCTCTGTTCAAGGATATGGATAAACTGGCAACTACCAGTGATGAAGATGAGGCTACATCCAGCGAGGATGAAGAGAGAGAGATGGAGCCCAAGTCCAAGGGGAAAACTCCTCTGAAGGGGCCGGCGATAAGGAAACGAGCTTATGTCGAAATAGAGTATGAGCAGGAAACAGAACCACTGTCAAAATCAAAAGCAACGTGACTTAACTGACATTTGTGAACTGTGATATACTAATGTCAGAGGGAAAACTCTTTAGCAACTTCAGTGATGGAAATACTCAATTGTTTCTCAGTCCCAATGCGTATTCTTTCAGCTGAAGGACTTGTAATACTGTTTTTTGGAAATGCTACAGTGAATGTTTTGGAAGTTTTTTTTTTTTTTAATACTGAGAAACATAAAAGGTTCTGAGGAAAGTATACTTCTCAGATAATATAGACACTGGGTCAGCTCATAGGAACTGTAATCCAACAATGAGATAAATGCAGACACTTTTCAGGCTTTTATTATAAAAGTGAAGACAATTTACATTTCCTTTTTTAAAAATATATATATATACTCTTTCTCATTATAAAGAGTTCTTGTATCAGGATAAGCAGACTGCAATTTACAAAATGAGAGAGTTGCTCTTCCAACCTTGAATAATCTTTACTAAACATCTTTATCGAGCTCTCCAGGAGACCAAACTTCTACAGGCTCCATTTGCACTTTCTTCAGGTACTTCTTGAGGCAATCATTTTGACAATGCTGGTAGACTCCGTGCAAAAGAATCTGGTGTTCATGAGGGGAGAAAGACATCAAAATTATATTTATAGCAGGTTTTTCTCAGTGATCTTAAGGCAAGGTACATGTCTCGTCCTTTACTTTATCATAAGAAACTTGTGGGGCAGGATATGTTGATAAACTATTAGGGCTTCACTGGGACTTCCTTAAGCCAACATCTCACAATTTTCAGTCTTTCTTACTATATACTACATAAGTAAAGGTAAAGGTTTCCCCTTGACATTAAGTCTAGTCATGTCCGACTCTGGGGTGGTTGTACTTATCTCAATTTCTAAGCTGAAGAGCCGGTGTTGTCTATAGATGCCTCCAAGGTCATGTGGCTTAAATGACTGTGTGGAGTGCCATTACCTTCCTGCCAGAGCGGTACCTATTACTCACATTTGCATGTTTTCGAACTGCTAGGTTGGCAGAAGCTGGGGCTAATAGCAGGAGCTCACCCCCGCTCCCCAGATTTGAACCACTGACCTTTTGATCAGCAAGTTCAGCAGCTCAGTGGTTTAACCCGCTGCACCACCGGGGGCTCCTATACCACTCTTTGTAACATGAGGTTGATTTATGCACAATGCAATATTGAGAGCCAATGTGGTGCTAAGTTTTGAATGGTAGACTAGGATTACCAAAAGGAGGGAGGGGGGAAATGAAATAACTTTGTCTCATAATAACTAATAGTTTCTCCTACTAAGTAAGCCTCAGTGTGGGAGAAATTACTTTCAGCATCCTAAATGTGGAGGTTGAAAGCTGGAGTCTTCTAGAATTCTGGGAGGGGAATGTATGTCCTCAACCCCAGGTAGCTGCTCACCTCCAAACTTAGGGACAACTGATGAGGGTCTAAATCTAAAGATTGCTCACCTTCACTTGGCCATGAGTAGAATGATCCAGTAAGAGAAGACATTCTGTGGCTCTCTGCAGTAACTCTGCTTTCACCGGTTCAGGTGTAACACTACTGTCTGTAGAAACGTCCCACATCATTTTCAGCAAAGCCTTCAAGAGTACACTGAGATGGCAGGTCATTCTGGAGCAAAGGGATTGTAAACTCATGTTAGACTCATTGGGAAGTTCTACTTCTGGCCTATTTTACTGTTGGTATAAGTGACTTTCTAACCCCACCCCCCTCAATTGATCATCACAGCACTGCAAGATGGTTTGGGCCTGTGGTGGAAGATGATCAAGGATAGCAAATAAATAGGTTAGTGGATAACTCCTGGTCTCCTGGTCCACAATCTCCATTAGCTCCAGGCGGTATTGACAATAGTAACTGGTTGTAGGAATTATAATCTAAAGGTAAAGGTAAAGGTAGTCCCCTGACATTAAGTCCAGTCATGTCCGACTCTGGGGTGTGGTGCTCATCTCCATTTCTAAGCCGAAGAGCCAGCGTTGTCCATAGACACCTCCAAGGTCATGTGGCCGGCATGACTGCATGGAGTGCCGTTACCTTCCCGCCGGAGGTCTACTCACATTTGCATGTTTTCGAACTGCTAGGTTGGCAGAAGCTAGGGCTGACAGCGGAAGCTCACGCCACTCCCCAGAATCGAACCTGCGACCTTTCGATCAACAAGCTCAGCAGCTCAGTGCTTTAACCCACTGCGCCACTGGGGGCTCCTTTAATTATAATCTGGAGGGCCCCAAATTTTCATACCCTGCAATAGATATTTAGCCTCTGCAAGGACATTGAATTAATAAAACTGTTAGTTTTAGACTCTCTATTAAAGATATGGAACTAAATGTGAACTCTTGGTCATCTCACTCCCTCAACATAACTACATCACACTTCATCCTGGGGAGGGGGGGGGGGGAGGAGAAGGAAAATCTTTGACTTTATTAGAGGAAATGTGAGATACCAATTTAATCAGGTACCTGGGCCAGGCATGCTGTATGGTGCACTTCAGAGTATCCAGTATTGCCAATCTAGCAACTTCTTCGGGTCCATCAGCGATCTCCAAGTAGCCTACAATCACTTGTTGTAGCCTTTTCAGGTGCCGAGTGATCTGGATGCCGAACCTTTCAAAGATAAATTAGTCAAGATTTATATTTGTTTCCAAAGTACAAATTTAAGCAATGAAAGAGATAATGCTATTCAGTTCCTTACCTCTCTACAAAGGTAGGTAGGCTGCTGGCATATATCCTCCGCAAGGACAGCTGGGGCTCTGCTTCCATATGTGTCAATACAAACTGAAACACTTCATCAGAAGGTGTGACAATTGGGGGGTTGTGGGACTGCTGTAGTGAGGCCTTCTCCAGGATTGGCAGCAAATCCAAGATACATGGCAACAAAATCTGTTTTAGTAATGAGATTATGTATTAGTATTTATTTGAGCAATTGACCAAAGATTACCCATAGTGTTTCATGGCTCATTGAGACAAGAATGGTTGCCCAAATCCCCAGGCCAGTGTTCTAACTTTGCTAAATCCCCAGGCCAGTGTTCTAACTTTGCCATCGCTAAGGAAGGGCAATGAGAATAGCTGCAGATTAGTTCTTTAAATGGATTCAGATTTTCAGCAGTCGAAACCATAGTAATGAGCTAAAATTCACTAAAACGAACTCCAAGAAGTTCTCAGCTACCAACTGACTGCAGAGAGCTGAAGAATCACAGACCTGTTTTAAGCCACTAATTCAGAGACTTAATATGAGACAAGCTTAAAAACACCAATTCTTCAGGCTGCAATTGTTCTGGTACAGCTGTGCCAGGAGCTCCAACTTCTTTTCTTTCTTTGAGTTTTTGCATGTATTCCAAGGTTCCATGCATTTTGCAGTAAGATGGCTTCCCTTGGTTTGCAATTATAGGGCCAATGACCCATCAATCATCATTAGGTTCTTTAGTTTCGCCCCTTTTTCTGGGTTTAGGGGGAAAAAAGGGGACCTCTAGTTCAGTTCATACAGAGAAGCCTTTCGTACAGGACGTGACTCAGTTCCACCTGTAGAAAGCTTTGTCTTTTACAGCTTTTGCTTGGGGGATCCAGTCCCACAGCTCTACAGAGAAGCATAGCCTTTGCTGGGAGGATCCAGTCCCACAGCTTTACAGCCAGCCTTCGCTGGTAATTGAAGACTTTCTTTCCTCTAGGAAATCTACAAAAGGACTCTGTTTGGTAAGGACCACTCGCGGCAGCCATAATGCAATTTGGACCGGGTGTAGGGGCCCACGCCAGCAGAGCCTAAGACAGATTTCCCAGGTAGAGGTCAAGGATTTCCCTGATAGTGAAGAAACAGTTCATGAAGATAGTTGCCTGTCCCTTGTGGATAAGATTAAGAAAGCCACCAGCTGATTCAAAGCCTTGAAGCATTTGTTTGATTTATTGAAGACCTAAGCAATAATAAAGAACTTTGTTAAACTTTCCAAGTTTCTAAAGACTTTGTTTAGGGAAATCCAAAAGGCCTCTAATCTGAGGCACCCCCGGCGTCCCGTTGGGCATACAGAAAACACGTCCTGTCTACAGACTCTTTCACTGGCCCAGTGCGTGACAGCACAGCAATCCTATGGGTACTTTCCTGGAAGGAAGTCAATGACTCTTGCTTTTGAGCAGACAAGTACAGGGCTATGCTGCAAATTACCCGCATGAGTTGAGCCTCCTTGCTGTAGAGGTGGAGGGAGAGGGCATGATTCACAACTTGTGCCCTGTTGAATTGGCAGAGGTCAGCTGCGGGCTGCAACAAGAAGAAATCAGTGGCAGTTTGACTTGCAAAAGCTACAGATATAATCTGCATAGTACAGAAAGAAATTTCCATGATTTCCATCATTCATGCGTGAGATTAAAAAGCACAAGTGCAGATGGGAGCTTCAATAAATAAATAAATAAACTTTATTTATATTCCGCCACCATCTCCCCAAAGGGACTCGGAGCGGCTTACAAGACACTGCAGTGCAGGATATAACAAACGATACACAAGTATAAAACAATGTCACATTTTTTTAAAAAAAACCCACTATCAACACACAAAACGAAATAACACAATTTAAAATGCAAAATCATCAGTAGCTAAAACTAGTTGCCATCACTTTACTGCCAGATCTAACATACAAAAATATCTCAGTAAATGTCATTTAGAAACAAAATAAATTTGATTACAATATATTTAAAATCAAATTAGATCCTTCATGTTCTGCTTGGGAATTTCTCAAGACCTCTAAGGTAGACACTGTTGAAATCAATAGCTATAAAGGCTTTTACACGAGTTTCTAAGACTCATGTAAAATATAACTTCCATCATTTATGGAAACAAGCAGACAGCCCTGGACTATTCATACCCTTCATTTCCTGATTTCAAAGGTCTTTTGCTAGCAAGCAGAAATGTATATGTCCTGTTGATTTTATGCTTATTTTCTAGTTGGAGCTAAACTAGAACTTTTTTTATAAAGAAAAAATCCAAAAGGACGGGTCTGATGATGATTATTATTACTACGGCTTCATCTGCACTGTGTCTTGACACTAATCCCATGGCAATACAGATTTGACATGTTGTTGACTCAGATCAAAGTCTGGTTTCCTTGACAATCTAATAACTGTTGATTCTCGTTGCCCCATTTTATGTTGGGGGTAACACATTTCTTTCTCTGGAGTTAGTCACTCTGGAAGACATTTTCTCCAACCACTGATTTTACTGGTATTGGTTACTCTTAGAAATGAGAATTCAGAAATGCCAGTTCTCAGACCCTGTAACATGTATGGATATATATGTAGGTGATACAGAGATGTCACCACTTATTTTTCCCCCATTTCTTTTTCCTTACCACATTCCTAATGATGTGGTGCAGGCACTGTACTCCCAGGATTTTGTTCTCCACACGATAGTCATCTGACAGGAGCAATGCAGGGGGCAGAACCTTCTCTAAGTGCTGGCTGAGCCAGGGCCTTGTGACTTGCTGGAGCACTGAGCAGAAGACATACTTGGCTGATGGGTTGCGCTGCCATGTTTCTCTGAAGCAGAGGAAAGAGAATCATGATGCCCCTAAGATGTGCAGTGCAGCTTTGAATCAACCAATAGCTAGAAAGGGGCAAGCCACAACACAGAAAGCTCCTTTCTACAGGTCAGACTTTCTTTCATCTGCCTCACCTTGTATTGTCTATTTTTGACTGGTGGCAGCTCTTGAAAGCCTTTGCAGAGGTCTTGTCCACTACAAGGTATCTGATCCTTTCAACAAGGCATACAAGATATTTTCCAGGACCTCTGAGAGAATGTATGGTCTGTCAATGTGTTATGATTTCCCTCTGAAGAATAACTTCATTCCAGAACGATACCATGGTCAATGGTATTGAAGGTCGCTGAGTGGTCTAGAACAGTGATTCTTAACCTTCCTAATGCCGCGACCCCTTAATACAGTTTCTCATGTTGTGGTGACCCCCAACCATAACATTATTTTTGTTGCCACTTCATAACTGTAATTTCGCTACTGTTTTGAATCGTAACGTAAATATCTGATAGGCAGGATGGATGTATTTCCATTCACTGGACCAAATTAAGCACAAATACCCGATACACCCAAATTTTAGTACTGGGGGGGGGGGGGGGGGGGGGGGGGGGGGAGAGAGTTGATTTTGTCATTTAGGAGTTGTAGTTGCAGGGATTTATAGTTCATCTACAATCAAAGAGCATTCTGACCAATGATGGAAATGAACCAAATTTGGCATACAAAACCAACAGAAAATACTGGAAGGGTTTGGTGGTCATTGGCCTTGAATTTTGGAGTTGTAGTTCATCTACATCCAGGGCACCATGGACTCCAACAATGATGGATCTGGACCAAATTGGGCACAAATCCACAGATGGAGTTTAGGGAAAATAGACCTTGACATTTGGGAGTTGTAGTTACTGGGACTTGTAGTTCATCTACAATCAATGAGGATTCTGAACTGCAATAACGACAGAACTGGAGCAAACTTCCCACACAGAACCACCATACTTAAGGCCATCCAGTCCAACTCCCTTCGCCAGGGCAAGACAACGTAATCAAAGCCCTCCTGACAAAGAGCCATCCAGCCACACACACACACACATATGATTCACACAACAGAGAGATATAGTATCATAGATTTGAAAGGGACCCATAAAGGAGGACAATTCTATGTTGCATGTTCCAGAGTAGGCAAACCAGACAATCTCCACATCAACACTGACAAAAAACACCAAGAAATACTGTTTACTCACAAGCACAAAGACATTACATATATTAGAAATCAACACTTTCTCATTACTTTATTTTCCAGATCACCAGACTGGGCCACAGCAATGCGTGGCAGGGGACGGCTAGTAATAAATAAATAGATGAACTTTAGGAACAGAATAGATTATCAAGTTGTGTCGTACTGCTAATGCACACTGCTAGCCCTATTACCCTCGTGAGATTAATGGATTAGGATGTAAAACCATGCAGCAACACTGTTAGGCACTCAGTTATTTGACATCTACAATGTAGGCAAGAGCACCGGGTTAGAACACATAGGGCTCAATGGCAGGCCACCCGAGAACAGGCTACTCAGAGGGTTTGTGATGAGTGGAAGTGGGAAAAGCGAAGTGAGAGCAGACAGTGGCCCCCCAGCTTCTGGGGCTCCAGAGCCCCTTTTCACCAAGCTTAGGACATCGGACAAGTTGGTAGCTGGTGTAAAACAGATGAAAGAAGGCAGAGAGAGACTAGTAATAGAACAAAACTGAATGAAAAGTGGAGAGGGATAGAAACACAGGGAGAAAAAGGGGCAGGGTTAGGGAGTTGTAGTTCACCTGCAATCAAAGAGAATTCTGAACCCCACCAATGAAGAAATCGGGGCAAACTTCCCACACAGAACCCCCATGACCAACAGAAAATACTTAAGGCCAAACAGTCCAACTCCCTTCACCAGGGCAAGAAAATGGCAACATAGCCCTCGGGACAAAGAGCCATTAAGCCATAGATAGAGATAAATATATATGATTCACACACAGAGAGATATAGTATCCTAGATTTGAAAGGGACCCCTAAAGAAGGACAATTATATGTTGCCTATTCTAGAGTGGGCATAGAACCATAGAATCATAGAGTTGGAAGAGACCTCATGGGCCATCCAGTCCAACCCCATTCTGCCAAGAAGCTGGAATATTGCATTCAAAGCACCCCTGACAGAGGGCCATCCAGCCTCTGTTTAAAAGCTTCCAAAGAAGGAGCCTCCACCACACTTCAGGGCAGAGAGTTCCTCTGCTGAACGGCTCTCACGGTCAGGAAGTTCTTCCTGATGTTCAGATGGAATCTCCTTTCTTGTAGTTTGAAGCCATTGTTCAGCGTCCCAGTAAATAAATAAAATCATACTTTCGCCGTGCTATTATCTGGCTTCTGGCCCCCGCTCACCTGCTCAGCTCCGGCTCCAGGTAGCGCAACACCTCCGCCAGGCAGCCTTCCTCTCCTTCGCGGGCGCCTCGGAGGAACTCGGGCACGGACTGGCAGCCCCGAGCCCGGAGGAGGGCGTCCAGCAGCGCTTGGGCCTGGCGCGCCGCCCCCGGATGGACCCCGGGCCTCTGGGCCGAGTGGACCGCCGCCAAGACGAACAAGGGCCCCGCCACGCGCCCTTCCAGGCCTCGGGCCTCCCCCAGTTTGGAGACGAGGCTGGAGAAGGCCAGGCAGGCCTCACCCTCCCTGTCCCAGGCCTCCAGAGGCGCGGCAGAGCGGGCCAGCGCCGCCGCCACGTCGCGGAGGAGGCCTGCGGACTCACCCGCGACGCCATTCCCAAAAAGGCGCAAGAAGGAGGCCAAGGGCCCCTCTCCCGACGCGCCCGCCTCGCAGGACTCCACTGCCTCCCTCTTTCAAGCAGGCCGCGAAGGAGACTCTGTGTTTACCTCAGAAACGGCAGAAACGGCCTTTCCGCTTCATACCGGAAGTCCCGGCTTGTGGCCTCGCGCAGGCGCAGATCCTTCGTTAGGCCAGGCCTGGGCAAACTTGGGCCCTCGAGGTGTTTTGGACTTCAACTCCCACAATTCCTAACAGCCGGTATTGTGGGAGTTGAAGTCCAAAACACCTCGAGGGCCCAAGTTTGCCCAGGCCTGCATTCGGCTTAAAATTCTGAAACCTGCTTCTCTCTACAATTTCTATCTCTATGAACTGCAGTTCTGCCTCCCCTTTGGTCTCATTCTTCCGTCCTAGTGAATATATTAGCATATCTAATTAGGTTGGCAGGAAGCTGGTAACTTTAGGAGCAAAAATACAAATCCAAGGCATTAAATTAGATTTTTTTTCTGCCAGTACGTATTAAACCATTGGCGTGACCTGGTTCTTTAGTGTTTAGTGCGAAGTCATAGTAACTTAAAAGCTTAGTGCGTCTTTTAAGCAGTTCCTCAAACGGGCAGAATTCGCGATCCTTCAGGTTCTTCCATGTGATGAGTGGGTTGTTCACGCGCATGCGTGAGATGTGCCGTCCCAATTGTTACGACGGGGCACAGTACCCATCTGATCTGAACCTTTAGAGTTATTTTAATGTTGTTCATTCTTTAGTCTGACCAGAGGTACTCCTGGTCAGTCGTAGGGCCGAACAGGGTACAGGGTTACAGCCTGTGTTAGACGGGGTCGCACTCCCCCTGAAGACACAGGTTCGCAGTTTGGGTGTGATCCTGGATTCAGCGCTGAGCCTGGACCCCCAGGTTTCGGCGGTGACCAGGGGAGCATTCGCACAGTTAAGACTCGTGCGCCAACTGCGACCGTACCTTGGGAAGTCTGACTTGGCCACGGTAGTCCACGCTCTGGTTACATCCCGCCTTGACTACTGCAATGCTCTCTACGTGGGGTTGCCTTTGAAGACGGCTCGGAAGCTCCAACTAGTCCAACGGGCGGCAGCCATGGTACTAACAGGAGCAGGGCGCAGGGAGCATCAACTCCTCTGCTGTACCAGCTCCACTGGCTGCCGATTAGCTACCGGACCCAATTCAAAGTGCTGGCATTGGCCTTTAAAGCCCTAAACGGTTCTGGCCCAACATATCTATCCGAACGTATCTCAGCCTATCAGCCCACCAGGACCCTAAGATCTTCTGGAGAGTCCCTGCTCTCTGTCCCTCCGGCTTCAGAAGTGCGGCTGGCGGGAACGAGAGACAGGGCCTTCTCTGTGGTGGCCCCTCGGCTTTGGAATGCCCGCCCTATAGAGATAAGATCAGCTCCCTCGCTGTTGGTATTTCGAAAAAAACTTAAGACATGGATGTTTGAACAAGCATTCGGGTAATCCGGTGCGATGAAGTTGATGACAAGGACTGGTAATTATTGACGATGAATTCGGATTATGATTTTAACTAAGAGATGCATTGGTCTGTATTGGTGGCCCGATACTGTGTATTGTATATGTTTTTTATGCTTTTAATTGCTTATTGTTGTTTTTAAGTACTGTTAACCGCAATGAGTCGCCGTTGTAGGCTGAGATATTGCGGTATATAAGCATACAAAATAAATAAATAAATAAATAAATAGTCGTCTCCGACTCTTCGTGACCTCATGGACCATCCCACGCCAGAGCTCCCTGTTGGCGGTCACCACCCCCAGCTCCTTCAAGGTCAGTCCAGTCACTTCAAGGATGCCATCCATCCATCTTGCCCTTGGTCGGCCCCTCTTCCTTTTGCCTTCCACTTTCCCCAGCATCATTGTCTTCTCTAGGCTTTGCTGTCTCCTCATGATGTGGCCAAAGGACTTCAACTATATTAAGGGCTGGATTGACCTTAAAGGAGCTGGGGGTGGTGAAGGTGGCTTCCTGGGCCAGTCCATGCCAGAGCTCCCTGTCGGTCGTCACCACCCCCAGCTCCTTCAAGGTCAATCCAGTCACTTCAAGGATACCATCCATCCATCTTGTCCTTGGTCGGACCCTCTTCCTTTTTCCTTCCATTAATTAAGACATTAATTAAGGTATATCTTTAGTACTTACTTACTTAGGCAATCCCTCGTTGGACGAGTAAGATGGTTTTCCATGATGGGTTTCCTTGTGAATTGGTAGGTGGCTGTGGAGCCCTATTCTTGACCCGCATCTTCTCCCACAGTGAAGGCATTGGTTTCCAGGGGGAAGGCGGTCCCGGTTGGGGTTGGCTTGACGCGCCTTCCTCCTGCCGGCTGGCACGTTTCTCTCTTTCACCGTCCACTTATGCCTCCTCGAATTCTGCAGCACTGCTGGTCATAGCTGACCTCCAGCTGGAGCGCTCAAGGGCCAGGGCTTCCCAGTAGTAGTAGTAGGCCATTTATTAGCCACCTCCTGCCACGTGTTGCTGTGGCCCAGTCTGGTGATCTGGAAAATAAAAGTAATGAAAAAGCGATGGTTTCTAATATATGTCAGTTTTTATGCTTGTGGGTAAACAGTATTTCTTCTTTCTTTGTTACTGCTGATTGTTCCATCTTGTCTCCTGCACTGTGCTTATAATATCATATAATTTGTTGTTCATTCATTCAGTCATTTTCCACTCTTCGTGACCTCATGGACCAGCCCACGCCAGAGCTCCCTGTCGGCCGTCACCACCCCCAGCTCCTTCAAGGTCAAGCCAGTCACTTCAAAGATACCATCCATCCATCTTGCCCTTGGTCGGCCCCTCTTCCTTTTTCCTTCCATTTTACCCACCATCATTGTATTCTCTAAGCTCTCCTTTCTTCTCATGATGTGGCCAAAGTACTTCATCTTGGCCTCTACTATTTTTCCCTCCAATGACCAGTCGGGCTTTATTTCTTGAAGTATGGACTGGTTGGATCTTCTGGCAGTCGAAGGCACTCTCAGCACTTTCCTCCAACACCACAGTTCAAAAGTGTCTCTCTTCCTTCGCTCAGCCTTCCTTATGGTACAGCTCTGGTGACTACGGGGAATACCATGGCTTTAACTATGCGGATCTTTGTTGCCAGTCTGATGTCTCTACCCTTCACTATTTTATCGAGATTGGACATTGCTCTCCTCCCAAGAAGTAAGCGTCTCCTAATTTTCTGGCCGCAGTCCGCGTCTGCAGTAATCTTTGCACCTAGAAATACAAAGTCTGTCACGGCCTCCACGTTTTCTCCCTCTATTTCCCAGTTGTCAATCATTCTTGTTGCTATACTCTTGTTTTTTTATGTTTAGCTGCAACCCAGCTTTTGTGCTTTCTTCTTTCACCTTGATTAGTAGGCTCCTCACCTCCTCCTCACTTTCTGCCATCAAAGTGGTGTCATCTGCATATCTAAGGTTGTTAATGTTTCTTCCAGCAATTTTCACCCCAGCCTTGCATTCCTCAAGCCCCGCACATCACATGATGTGTTCTGCATACAAGTTGAATAGGTTGGGTGAGAGGATACAATCCTGCCGTACGCCTTTCCCAATCTTGAACCAGTTCCATGGTCAGTTCTTACTGTTGCTACTTGGTCCTTATACAGATTCCTCAGGAGAGAGACAAGGTGATTTGGTATGACCATACCACCAAGACCTTGCCACAGTTTATTATGATCCACACAGTCAAAGGTTTTAGAATAGTCAATAAAACAGAAATAGATGTTTTTTTGAAACTCCCTGCCTTTCTCCATTATCCAGCGGATCTTGACAATCTCTCGTTCCTCTGCCTTTCCTAAACCCAGCTTGTCCATCTGGCAACTCTCTCTCCATGTATTGTTGGAGTCTTCCTTGCAGGATCTTGAGCATTACCTTACTGGCATGAGAAATAAGGGCCACTGTACGAAAGTTTGAGCACTTTTTAGCACTTTCCTTTTTTTGGTATGGGGATATAAGTTGATTTTTTTTCCAGTCTGATGGCCATTCTTGTGTTTTCCATATTTGCTGGCATATGGCATGCATCACCTTGACAACATAATCTTTCAAGATTTTAAACAGTTCAGCTGGGATCCCGTCATCTCCTGCTGCCTTGTTGTTAGCAATGCTTCTTAAGGCCCATTCAACCTTACTCCTCAGGATCTCTGGTTCTAATTCACTGTCAAAACTATCCTTGATATTATTATCCTTCCTATACAGATCAAATATAATATAATATATTGTATATACATATAATATTGATAATATTATAATGTAATACAATATACTACTACTACTAAAATATTATAATTATATATTTTATATTAAATGTAATATTACTAATAATATTACAGTACAATGGTATAGTACAATGTAATATATAATATTAACATTGTGCTATGATAATAATATAATATATTGTATTTACTTTTTACTTGTAAACCGCTCTGAGTCACTTTCGAGGTGAGAAGGACAGCATATAAATGTTGTAAATAAATAAATAAATAGTCTGGTTTGCCTACTCTGGAACATGCAACATATAATTGTCCTTCTTTAGGGGTCCCTTTCAAATCTATACTACTACTAGCCACCCCCTGCCATTTGTTGCTGTGGCCCAGTCTGGTGATCTGGAAAATAAAGTAACGAGAAAGCGTTGGTTTCTAATATATGCAATTCCTTTATGCTTGTGAGTCGCCCCAGGGCTGAGAGCGGCGGTCAACAAATGAAGTAAATAAATAAATAAATAAATAAATAAACAGTTTTTCTAGTTGTTTCTTTGTCAGTGTTGATGTAGACATTGTCTGGTTTGCCTACTCTGGATCATGCAACATATAATTGTCCGTCTTTAGGGGTCCCTTTCAAATCTATGATACATCCCATATAGATTATAGCAACGTGCTCTATGTTGTGTTGCCTTTGAAAACTGCTCGGAAGCTTCAAATGGTCCATCGTGCGGCAGCCAGGTTACTATCCTCAATGGGGCTTTCTGATGCAGAGCAGAATTCTTGGAAATGTGGTTTAGGGCAAGGCCTTTTGAATTCTCTGTCATAGTATCAGACTCTGGAAAATCTTGGAGTTAAA